CCCATCACAGGTGCGTGATTAGTCCCCTCCAGTACTCCCTGTTCACCCATGACTGCGTGGCCGCACACGACTCCAACACCATCATTAAGTTTGCTGACGACACAACGATGGTTGGCCTGATCACCGACGACGATGAGACAGCCTATAGGGAGGAGGTCAGTGACCTGGCAGTGTGGTGCCAGGACAACAACCTATCCCTCAACGTCAACAAGACAAAGGAGTTGATCGTAGACTACAGAAAATGGAGGGTTGAGCTCGCCCCCATCCACATCGACAGGGCTGTTGTGGAGCGGGTCGAGAGCTTCAAGTTTCTTGGTGTCCACATCACTAAGGAATTATCGTGGTCCACACAAACCAACACAGTCTTGAAGAAGGCACGACAATGCCTCTTCCCCCTCAGCAGGCTGAAAAGATTTGGCATGGGCCCTTAGATCCTCAAGAAGTTCTACAGCTGCACCGTTGAGAGCATCTTGACTTGCTGCATCACCGCTTGGTATGGCAACTGCTTGGCATCCAACCGCAAGGCGCTACAGAGGGTAGTGTGTATGGCCCAGTACATCAATGGGTCTGAGCTCTTTGCCATCCAGGACCTCTATACCAGGCAGTGTCAGAGGAAGACCCTAAAAATTGTCAAGGACTCCAGCCACCCAAGTCATAGACTGCTTTCTCTGCTACTGCACGGCAAGCGATACCGATGCACCAAGTCTGGAATCAACAGGACCCTGAACAGCTTCTACCCTGAACAGCTTCTACCCCCAAGCTAAATAGTTTGTCCAGGCAACTATTGGTTAACTATTTAACTATCTGCATTGACCCTTTTTTCACTCTTTTGACTCATCACATACTATGCTGCTACTGTTTATTATCTATCCTGTTGCCTAGTCACTTTATCCCTACCTATATGTACATATCTACCTCAATTACCTTCTACCCCCGCACATCGACTTGATACTGGTACCCCGTGTATATAGCCAAGTCATCGTTACTCATTGTATATTTATTCCTCATGTTATTATTTTTATTTTTCTCTCTGAATTGTTGAGAAGGGCGTCCCGTAAATAAGCATTTCACTGTTTGTCTACACATGTTGTTTAATTAAACATATGACAAATAACTTGATTTTTATTTGAGTTGTTGAGTAGTCAAACTCTTTTAATCTAAAATACTTGTACTGCTCTCTGAATAGAAGAAGATGAGGAAAAGAAGAAGAAGAAGAAGAAGAAGAAGAAGAAGAAGAAGAAGGAAGAAGAAGAAGAAGAAGAAGAAGAAGAAGAAGAAGAAGAAGAAGAAGAAGAAGAAGATATTTTGTATTGATTTATTGCTTCAATAAAACTTGGGTGATTTAGGGTGTGGTTGAATAGTTTTAGTGTTATCAATGAGAAACAGACAAGGGGAATCTTGCAAAATCCTGCACATATGAATTATACTTTTCAGTAGGAAATATGACCAACATTTTCAGAATGACAGTAGTTCACTATCGATCTCCTCCTGTGAGGTCACTCAAAGTGTCTCCACTCTCACCAATCACAGACGGTAAGAGGCAGAATATGGGAGTTGTTGAAATAGCACATGACGTCAGTGGTAGTACGCAGCCGCAGCCGAAAAAGTGACGATGGTCCTGATCAAGGAATAGTAAGTCCAAACTTTTCTTGATTTTACTGTAATGTGTGTGATAATAATATACTATTTTCGAATACTGAGATTCTTGCTTAGATGTTTTTACTCAAATTATAACTTTGCAGATATGTTTGGGAACACATGTGTTTGGTAGAGTGGGATTGTTCAGGTCTGGCCTACCCGATGACAGCGAGTCAGCATATAGGCTACTAATGTTAGCCGACTCAACTTCCTTTCGGCTTTTCACTGCTATTGTGCTAGCCAACTGGATAGCGAAGTACAACAATATGGAACATTTGTCGATTATCTAGTATCGACAGGATACAGTTTTTAGCAAGCTAACAATGTACGGTATATTGTTTGGTGTAGGTAGTTTGAACGTTTTGCGGTTTGTAACTTTGTCGATAATGGTAACTTTCTAGCTAGCTAACTAGCTAATTTACCTAGCGGAAGGGAGACTGCCTACCCTAGAGAAATTGCACGCGTACCACAAACGTTCAATCCACTGCCTGTAAAACCCGGTTTCCCAAAAGTATTTTAAGGCTAAGTTCATCGTTAGAACCGGTTCTAAATATGAACGTAGCCTTAAGAAGCGTTAGGGAAAAAGGACACTGGTGTGTTGAACAGGGTTGTCAACTTTGCAATGTCTTGCTGACGGTGTTCAAGTCTTCATGGCAGGCTGGTGATTCATGAACTTTGACCAAACTGCTGACCAAGGAAAAATCTGCTTGTGAGAGAAATAACTAGGGTGATGCATTCTGCACTGTCACGTGGTGTACTAATGGTTCCCAGTTCAAACAATCAGTATGCCTAATCCAGTCTGATTCAGGAAGACGTTTGAATGTCTGAAGAGGTAGAATGTAACCCAATTTGTGTTGATTGTCAGTAGGCGCATGCATTTTTATTCAACTTGATGTGATCCATATCCATTGATTCCTATGCCCTGCCTCGTATAAAAGCCTACTAAACTAGGTTTATGGCTAGACTTTTAGTAATCAGTGGTTACAGTCATCTCATGTGTGTGGAGTAACCTCACCACATTCAGAATACAAACAACTACAGTAGAGAGATTATTTTCTAATCTTTGTTAAGCTAATCTATCGCAGAGTTTTGAAACGCAGCCTTTGAGAAACAAACCCTGAGGCATGTTCTGAACTTGGTCAACAAACAGATTACAGGTGGCTGGAGGAAGTGTGTAGCCTACTGCAGCTCTCGTGGCTGCTCTCATGCACATGCCACTCAGATTTAGGCTGATGTCACTCAGTGTTGGCTCACACAGCTGAGAATAGATAGCCACATTTTTGTTATGAAGTAGGTAGTTTCATCCCTGTTTTATTTTAAATAAATAGCCTAATCTAGCATCTTTCAATAAGTGGTGTGGTTTGTATGACCTTTTTACATGCCACAAGTCAATCAGTGAAATCTTGCAGCACATCGGTTTGGCCTTCACTGCCCCTGTCTGTCAGTCACTGCAGATGATAGGAAAGGTCTCTCCTTGTTGCCTTCTGTTGAAGCCTGTCTGTGTTAATGCTAGGGGTGTGCTGATCTCGTCATACTCGTAATCGTATCTGTTTTATCACGTAATCGGATTTACTCGTGATCAGAAAACACGGAAGTACGCTTTAAATGCCGGTAAAGCGTATACCTCACGTGCGCATTACTGAGTGCATCTCAGAGCACATCTGATGTTCCTTCACTCATTCACACACATTGTTAAACGACCCGACAGATGAAAATGCACATGATTTACTTGCTTAGGCCTATTTAATTATTAACGACAGGCTGATAAATAACTTAATGCATGGCTGACTACCACTGCCTGCATTTTTTCCAGACACAGATTTAGATGACGGTAGGCTAATTTAGATGACGGTAGGCTAATTTAGATGACGGTAGGCTAATTTAGATGACGGTAGGCTAATTTAGATGAAAGTAGGCTAATTTGCTTGTCCCATATATTGTTTCACTTTTGAGAGAAGCAAAACTTTTCTCTCCCAACACTTATGCCACAACATTTGTACAATCCAAATTTTTTATCTACATTTGTCTTTTTATTTTCTAATGATCTGTCGCTCGGGAAACATGCCTGGGCGAGAATAAATGATAATAGCAAGCATGGGCTTGGATCACGATATAATGACAGATGTCGTCAGCAATGGAATAATTATACGGACAGATAAAGTAGGCCTAGTAAACAATGCCAAGAAGACACACACAAAAAAAACATATAGCCTCACAAAGTCTACAGGAAATAACTAGATTGAGCAACAATGACTAGCTACGGATTCTGATTCATACACGATGTTTGGAGAAGGGGAGACTTGTGTCCTGAGATGTGTGACTGTGTGAGTCTGTCTGGGGAAATGATAGCTGAGGGAGAGCGGCTTGTTCTAATCCAATCATTGCAGCAGGCTCAGCGGATACCCCGGCAGTTTCTTTACAGACAGAAGAACTAGCCAATAGTTATTTAGAGCACACAGCGCTTCGCACTGTTTGAGTGAAAGATATGCATGCTGGCAGCTGAAAAATACAGAGATAATTGCAAAAAATACTTGTCATAATCGTATTCGGAAAATTCTCTATCAGTTAAGATACTCGTTTAGTTCGAGTACTCGGCACACCCCTAGTAAATGCATTTTACCTCTCCATCCAATCCCAACATGGCTTAGTGTGTAACACAGGGCGTGAAGTCTCGGGCTAGCCTGTTGCTCAGATCTCACACACAACATCTAAGATCTGCCAGATTTACAGGTTTTAGGATGTGACACCATTACAGCAGTCATCTTTCTAACTGAAAAGCATCCTTATTGCCTGGGTCTATGGGTAACCGGTCTGTTGTTGTAAGGCAGTCACTGGTTGTAATGCTATTTGTGAATTGTTACTACTTTCAAGGCTATGGTCAATGGTATCATTATACCACAGCCCTGTTTGGTAAATGATCGTAACTCAGTGGGGGTTTTATGTTAAAGATTAACCATGGATCAACAGAAAACAAAGTGCTTCCTGATAGTAGAGCTACATATGGATGGAATAGGCTTACCTCCCCTCTTAGAGAGAAAGAGAGAGAGAGTATATGGGGGGTCCCATATTCTTACGGATAACTGTTTCTGCATTCCTTTCTCTATGATATTCCGCTCTGGTTTTAGTGGTCATTGGGTGGGGAAACGCTGCTATGATGTCATGTTTGTGTGGGCACAGAACACCACACCCTCAGTGGCTGGACTAGCTTTTGGGTAGTCTCTCTGGTTCACATTTTGGCAGTGTCCTGACTGTCAGGCAGTAGGTTATAGTTGGAGCTGCCTTCATCATGTCATGTGACTCAGGAAGAGTAACCTGGACTAATTTCCTGTTCCTGTACACTGAGGAAACCTCTCATGTGCCCCATGGAAGCTGAGCCTCCTGCTGCCACCATCAAACAGGCTGACAGGGGCTACTGCAGTTACAAAGTCATGAGGCAATGGCCTTGCGTAAAGAAAATGATTATAGCTGCTATGGCCAAAAAGAAAGCAAGTGTATCATGTCTCAATTGTGATGAAAAAAAAAAAAAAGGATGCCTGTAGTCAAATCTGTTTATCAAAACAGCAACCAATTCTATGAGGCTAGTAGAGAACACATGTGGCTTGTAAGACTGTTGGAACTAAATATATCCCACTTATTTTTTGACTCAGGCCTAGATGTGATTATGATGGCCAGTGCCAGTCAGTGTTCATCATAGAACCATGTCTCATCTCGCTCTCTGCTCTACTCTCTTTCAGCCGTGTGGTGTTACCCTGTACTGTGGAGGAGGTGAGTACGTCACCATGGTTTCACTCTCAGTAGGCCTATTCAGCATTCAGTCAAGCATCCTATGGAATTAACCTTCTGTTCAGATCTGTCTTGGCTTTCCTTATCTGGTTTGGTAACAGTTGTGTGGATTGATCCGTTTATGAGTGGTGGCATAACACACACCAGGGTTTCCCTTAGGAAAATGTGGTGCCGGACGTTTGACCTGCAGCATTTAAATTTACCGGACCCATATGCGTTGGGTGCGTAACTTGATTAGGGCTTCCACCCATGGTGCTCATAACGACAGAAATCACAATTTAGATTATGGGTAATTCATCTTAACAGAACATGCAACTCAAGGATTTAACGACATCCGTCCTTCTTTCCGAATTCCGATGCGCACATTGAAGACGTTAGAATAACTGTCCACATGTACTTTTCCTCAACCATCAAATCAAAGTTTACTGGTCGCGTACACAGATTTGCAGGTGCAGTAAAATGCTTGTTGTATCTAGCTCCAACATTGCAGTAATACCTAGCAATAAAACATTTTAAAAAACAATACACACACAATCCAGGGAAAAAATTAAAAAATATCAGAACGAGCAATGTCAGAGACCGAAATATAACTTGTTTTCAAAAGAAAAATTATTTTTTTTGTCCATTAGAATTACATTAAATTGATCAGAAATACAGTGTAGACATTCTTCATGTTGTAAATGGCTATTGTAGCTGGAAACGGCTGATTATTTTATGGAATATCTACATAGACGTACAGAGGCCCATTATCAGCAACAATCAGTCCTGTGTTCCAATGGCACGTTGTGTTTGCTAATCCAAGTTTATCATCTTAAAAGGCTAATTGATCATTAGAAAACCCTTTTGCAATTATATTAGTACAGCTGAAAACTGTTGTGCTGATTAAAGAAGCAATAAAACTGGCCTTCTTCAGACTAGTTGAGTATCTGGAGCATCAGCAATTGTGGGTTCAATTACAGGCTCAAAATGGCCAGAAACAAATAACTTTCTTCTGAAACTCATCAGTCTATTCTTGTTCTGAGAAATGAAGGCTATTCCATGCGAGAAATTGCCAAGAAACTGAAGATCTCGTAGAACGCTGTGTTACTACTCCCTTCACAGAACAGCGCAAACTGGCTCTAACCAGAATAGAAAGAGGAGTGGGAGGCCCCGGTGTACAACTGAGCAAGAGGACAAATATATTAGTGTGTAGTTTGAGAAACAGATGCCTCACAGGTCCTCAACTGGCAGCTTCATTAAATAGTACCCGCAAAACACCAGTCTCAACATCAACAGTGAAGAGGTGACTCCAGGATACTGACCTTCTAGGCAGAGTTGCAAAGAAAAAGCCATATCTCAGACTAGCCAATAAAAATAAAAGATTAAGATGGGCAAAAAAACACAGACACTGGACAGAGGAAGATTGGAAATAAGTGTTATGGACAGACAAATTGAAGTTTGAGGTGTTCAGATCACAAAGAAGAACATTTGTGAGATGCAGACCAAATGAAAAGATGCTGGAGGACTGCTTGATGCCATCTGTCAAGCATGGTGGAGGCAATGTGATGGTCTGGGGGTGCTTTGGTGGTGGTAAAGTGGGAGATTTGTACAGGGTAAAAGGGATCTTGAAGAAGGAAGGCTATCACTCCATTTTGCAACGCCATGCCATACCCTGTGGACGGCGCTTGATTGAAGCCAATTTCCTCCTAAAACAGGACAATGACCCAAAGCACAGCTCCAAACTATGCAAGAACTATTTAGGGAAGAAGCAGTCAGCTGGTATTCTGTCTATAATGGAGTGGCCAGCACAGTCACCGGATCTCAACCCTATTGAGCTGTTGTGGGAGCAGCTTGACCGTATGAAGAAGTGCCCATCAAGCCAATCCAACTTGTGGGAGGTGCATCAGGAAGCATGGGATGAAATCTCTTCAGATTACCTCAACAAATTGACAACTAGAATGCCAAAGGTCTGCAAGGCTGTAATTGCTGCAAATGGAGCATTCTTTGACGAAAGCCAAGTTTGAAGGACACAATTATTATTTTTATTAAAAATCTAACCTTCTAAAATGTCTAACCTTGGCAATGACTACATTTCCTATGCCTTTTGCTATATTTGCTATTCAAACTCATTTCATGTATGTTTTCATGGAAAACAAGGACATTTCTAAGTGACCCCAAACTTTTGAACGGTAGTGTATATATACAGTTGAAGTCATAAGTTTACATACACTTAGGTTGAAGTCATTAAAACTTGTTTTTCAACCACGCCATACATTTCTTGTTAAAAAAACTATAGTTTTGGCAAGTCGGTTAGGACATCTACTTTGTGCATGACACAAGTAATTTTTCCAACAGTTGTTTACAGACAGATTATTTCACTTATAATTCACTGTATCACAATTCTAGTGGGTCAGAAGTTTACATACACTAAGTTGACTGTGCCTTTAAACAGCTTGGAAATTTTCAAAAAATGATGTCATGGCTTTAGAAGCTTCTGATAGGCTAATTGACATCATTTGAGTCAATTGGAGGTGTACCTGTGGATGTATTTCAAGGCCTACCTTCAAACTCAGTGCCTCTTTGCTTGACTTCATGGGAAAATCAAAAGAAATCAGCCAAGACCTCAGAAAAGAAATTGTAGACCACAAGTTTGGTTCATCCTTGGGAGCAATTTTCAAACGCCTAAAGGTACCACGTTCATCTGTACAAACAATAGTACGCAAGTATAAACACCATGGGACCACGCAGCCGTCATACCGCTCAGGAAGGAGACGCGTTCTGTCTCCTAGAGATGAACGTACTTTGGTGCAAAAAGTGCAAATCAATCCCAGAACAACAACAAAGGACCTTGTGAAGATGCTAGAGGAAACCGGTACAAAAGTATCTATATCCACAGTAAAACGAGTCCTATATCGACATAAACTGAAAGGCCGCTCAGCAAGGAAGAAGCCTCTGCTCCAAAACCGCCATAAAAAATCCAGACTACGGTTTGCAACTGGACATGGGGACAAAGATGGTACTTTTTGGAGAAATGTCCTCTGGTCTGATGAAACAAAAATAGAACTGTTTGGCCATAATGACCATCGTTATGTTTGGAGGAAAAGGTGGGTGGCTTGCAAGCTGAAGAACAAAGACAAGGTATTGGAGTGGCCTTCACAAAGCCCTGACCTCAATTCTATAGAAAATGTGTGGGCAGAACTAAAAAAGCGTCTGCGAGCAAGGAGGCCTACAAACCTGACTCAGTTACACCAGCTCTGTCAGGAGGGATGGGCCAAAATTCACCCAACTTATTGTGGGAAGCTTGTGGAAAGCTACCCATAACGTTTGACCCAAGTTAAACAATTTAAAGGCAATGCTAGCAAATACTAATTGAGTGTATGTAAATTTCTGACCCACTGGGAATGTGATTAAATAAATAAAAGCTTAAATAAATCATTCTCTCTACTTTTATTCTGACATTTCACATTCTTAAAATAAAGTGGTGATCCTAACTGACCTAAGACAGGGAATATTTACTAGGATTAAATGTCAGGAATTGTGAAAAACTGAGTTTAAATGTATTTGGCGAAGGTGTATGTAAACTTCCGACTTCAACTACAGTGGGGGAAAAAAGTATTTAGTCAGCCACCAATTGTGCAAGTTCTCCCACTTAAAAAGATGAGAGAGGCCTGTAAGAATTTTTTTTCCAGAAAATCACATTGTAGGATTTTTAATGAATTTATTTGCAAATTATGGTGGAAAATAAGTATTTGGTCATCGACAAACAAGCAAGATTTCTGGCTCTCACAGACCTGTAACTTCTTCTTTAAGAGGCTCCTCTGTCCTCCACTCGTTACCTGTATTAATGGCACCTGTTTGAACTTGTTATCAGTATAAAAGACACCTGTCCACAACCTCAAACAGTCACACTCCAAACTCCGCTATGGCCAAGACCAAAGAGCTGTCAAAGGACACCAGAAACAAAATTGTAGACCTGCACCAGGCTGGGAAGACTGAATCTGCAATAGGTAAGCAGCTTGGTTTGAAGAAATCAACTGTGGGAGCAATTATTAGGAAATGGAAGACATACAAGACCACTGATAATCTCCCTCGATCTGGGGCTCCACGCAAGATCTCACCCCGTGGGGTCAAAATGATCACAAGAACGGTAAGCAAAAATCCCAGAACCACACGGGGGGACCTAGTGAATGACCCTACCATCAGTAACACACTACGCCGCCAGGGACTCAAATCCTGCAGTGCCAGACGTGTCCCCCTGCTTAAGCCAGTACATGTCCAGGCCCATCTGAAGTTTGCTAGAGTGCATTTGGATGATCCAGAAGAGGATTGGGAGAATGTCATATGGTCAGATGAAACCAAAATAGAACTTTTTGGTAAAAACTCAACTCGTCGTGTTTGGAGGACAAAGAATGCTGAGTTGCATCCAAAGAACACCATACCTAATGTGAAGCATGGGGGTGGAAACATCATGCTTTGGGGCTGTTTTTCTGCAAAGGGACCAGGACGACTGATCCGTCTAAAGGAAAGAATGAATGGGGCCATGTATCGTGAGATTTTGAGTGAAAACCTCCTTCCATCAGCAAGGGCATTGAAGATGAAACATGGCTGGGTCTTTCAGCATGACAATGATCCCAAACACACCGCCCGGGCAACGAAGGAGTGGCTTCGTAAGAAGCATTTCAAGGTCCTGGAGTGGCCTAGCCAGTCTCCAGATCTCAACCCCATAGAAAATCTTTGGAGGGAGTTGAAAGTCCGTGTTGCCCAGCGACAGCCCCAAAACATCATTGCTCTAGAGGAGATCTGCATGGAGGAATGGGCCAAAATACCAGCAACAGTGTGTGAAAACCTTGTGAAGACTTACAGAAAACGTTTGACCTGTGTCATTGCCAACAAAGGGTATATAACAAATTATTGAGAAACTTTTGTTATTGACCAAATACTTATTTTCCCACAATGTGATTTTCAGGATTTTTTTTCTCATTTTGTCTGTCATAGTTGACGTGTACCTATGATGAAAATTACAGGCCTCTCTCATCTTTTTAAGTGGGAGAACTTGCACTATTGGTGGCTGACTAAATACTTTTTTTCCCCACTGTATATATGTTTACATACTGTTTTAATGGTGTGTAAAGTCAGTATTGACAGGTGTGTATAGCAGTAGTTGGGCTATATAGGATGAGCCATGACTAGAATACAGTATATACGTATAAAGTATGTAAAACAGTATCTAAAAATTATTCAAGTGACCTGTATTCAACGACTATGTACATAGAGCATCAGTCGCTAAGGTGCACGGTAGAGTACCGGGTGGGAGCCGACTAGAACAGTGACTAAGGGTAGTGGTGACTGTTTAACAGTCTGATGGCCTGGAGATAGAAGCTGTTTCTCAGTCCCAGCTTTGATGCACCTGTACCGCCTTTTAGATGGTAGTGGAGTGGACAGGCCGTGGCTCGGGTGGCTGTTGCGCCTTCTTCACCACGCTGTCTGTATGAAGGGACCATTTCAGATTGTCAGTGATGTGCATGCCGCGCACCTCCTCCAGGATTGCCACACAGAAGAAATGTTGTGCACCGCAGACGCAAGAGATATAACTTCACTGAGTTCGCCCCATTAGTTTGCACTATATAGATCGACGTTTTCTGTGATTGAATCAACATGATATCAGCCAAACTTTGCAAGATTGAGTCTATGATTTTGTTATAGGCAAAGCCAGAGCACAACGGAGTATAATTATATTGGCGGAGGTAGCCCACAAGCGGTCTTTCAATCATCCGCGAGTGAATGCGGCTCTGCACTGAAAAACGCGTGTGTGCACATTTGTTGCTATTCTTTGCTAGTTAGCGAGTTATTAGCCCAGTTATAGATAAGTATAGGTCAGCAATGGGGAGTTACTGCTTCCTACAAAAGCACAAAATGTGTTGGCTACATTTCAAATTGTCTTTGAAAAGCCAGTCAGGTAAAAAGCTTATGTGTTAATTAAAGGGGCAGTGTTGTATTTTAAGACAGGCTTGAATATGCAAATAAGCCAATAGGCAGAGGGGCCCATGGTGTTACAGACCAAGTAAAAAATCATGAATTAATGTCGAGCCCTGTTTTTTAAAAAATGTGCATTGAACACCACATATAGGCTACTGTAGGCTATATCATACCAGGTTTGCCCCCTGGTTGTAATTTATTTTGCTGAAGGAGCTCTATTTTGGTGGCCTCTGGTACATACTAATGGCCTGATTCCATCTGAAATAAACAGTGAAATTATTGAATACTTTATCAAGTTTACCTCCCAGATTGGAAAAATGTGTTGTGTTATTGTGTAGAAAGACATGACTTTACAGTTTTAAATGACACACACACACAGACAGGAGCATTCTCATTGCCCCTTCAGAAAGTTGCAGGAAATACAAGATACTTATGCATTCTGTTCATGTCTTATGATAAACTTGGGCAAATTAATTAAAATTAATTAAATTAACGGTCAATTACCATAAGACCAGCAGTCTCTTGCATGACAATAACTGTCTGATAAAATGTCATGACCGCCACAGCCTATCTGCACCACACCACTCATAGTGATTTAGGGCTAATCTCTATATCCATCCAGCTAATTACAAGCTACAGGCTAACCGAAAAGACCTTACCTCTTCTGAGATGTTGGAGTCCGTTTCCCGGTGCTTGTAAAAACGCTGCACCGTTTTCCCACCTGCATCTCCATCTTGAAACTCCCCATTGCCCCCACCATCAAAATTAGCCTCCATTTAGGCTGTAGTTTATATGCAAATGTAACACTATGTTGAGGTTGATTCCCATGTAGCTCAGTTGGTAGAGCATGGCACTTGCAACGCCAGGGTTGTGGGTTTGATTCCCACGGTGGACCAGTACGAAAAAAGTATGAAAATGTATGCACTCACTACTGTAAGTCGCTCTGGATAAGAGTGTCTGCTAAATGACTCAACTGTAAAAATAAATAAATAAAGAATTTAAAAATCTTTATAAACATAAAATGCTTGTATGGATGTCAACCCCAATACATGTTCATGTCATCAATCAACTGCATTACAGTTAAAACTACTTTTCACCACCGCCACCAATTTCTGTATGCTAGCTATGCTACCAGCTTATACGAATGGGAGTTAACATTTAGCAGTCACTTTTACATGTTATGCAGAGAAAACAGCCAGATACAAGTGAGGGGGAAAAAAGTATTTGATCCCCTGCTGATTTTGTACGTTTGCCCACTGACAAAGAAATGATCAGTCTATAATTTTTATGGTAGGTTTATTTGAACAGTGAGCGACAGAATAACAACAAAAAAATCCAGAGAAACGCATGTCAAAAAAGTTATAAATTGATTTGCATTTTAATGAGGGAAATAAGTATTTGACCCCCTCTCAATCAGAAAGATTTCTGGCTCCCAGGTGTCTTTTTATTCAGGTAACGAGCTGAGATTAGGAGCACACTCTTAAAGGGAGTGCTCCTAATCTCAGTTTGTTACCTGTATAAAAGACACCTGTCCACAGAAGCAATCAATCAATCAGATTCCAAACTCTCCACCATGGCCAAGACCAAAGAGCTCTCCAAGGATGTCAGGGACAAGATTGTAGACCTACACAAGGCTGGAATGGGCTACAAGACCATCGCCAAGCAGCTTGGTGAGAAGGTGACAAGTTGGTGCGATTATTCGCAAATGGAAGAAACACAAAATAACTGTCAATCTCCCTCGGCCTGGGGCTCCATGCAAATCTCACCTCGTGGAGTTGCAATGATCATGAGAACGGTGAGGAATCAGCCCAGAACTACACAGGAGGATCTTGTCAATGATCTCAAGGCATCTGGGACCGTAGTCAACAAGAAAACAATTGGTAACATACTACACCGTGAAGGACTGAAATCCTGCAGCGCCCGCAACGTCCCCCTGCTCAAGAAAGCACATATACAGGGCCGTCTGAAGTTTGCCAATGAACATCTGAATGATTCAGAGGAGAACTGGGTGAAATTGTTGTGGTCAGATGAGACCAAAATCGAGCTCTTTGGCATCAACTCAACTCGCCGTGTTTGGAGGAGGAGGAATGCTGCCTATGACCCCAAGAACACCATCCCCACCGTCAAACATGGAGGTGGAAACATTATGCTTTGGGGGTGTTTTTCTGCTAAGGGGACAGGACAACTTCACCGCATCAAAGGGACGATGGACGGGGCCATGTACCGTCAAATCTTGGGTGAGAACCTCCTTCCCTCAGCCAGGGCATTGAAAATGGGGTGTGGATGGGTATTCCAGCATGACAATGACCCAAAACACACGGCCAAGGCAACAAAGGAGTGGCTCAAGAAGAAGCACATTTTAAGGTCCTGGAGTGGCCTAGCTAGTCTCCAGACCTTAATCCCATAGAAAATCTGTGGAGGGAGCTGAATGTTCGAGTTGCCAAACGTCAGCCTCGAAACCTTAATGACTTGGAGAAGATCTGCAAAGAGGAGTGGAACAAAATCCCTCCTGAGATGTGTGCAAACCTGGTGGCCAACTACAAGAAACGTCTGACCTCTGATTGCCAACAAGGGTTTTGCCACCAAGTACTAAGTCATGTTTTGCAGAGGGGTCAAATACTTATTTCCCTCATTTAAAATGCAAATCAATTTATAACATTTTTGATGTGTTTTTCTGGATTTCTTTTTTTGTTATTCTGTCTCTCACTGTTCAAATAAACCTACCATTAAAATTATAGACTGATCATGTCTTTGTCAGTGGGCAAACGTACAAAATCAGCAGGGGATCAAATACTTTTTTCCCTCACTGTACACGCCGCCTGAGTCTGACTAGGGCCCAACCTCTACTGCAAAGTTGGCTATGAGCTACAAACAGGGCGACTGTGTCTGTCGGCGCCATCTTACATCCAAGACTAGTAACGAACAGCAAAATCACTAGGCTATGTCAATCTACTATCCCCCATAGTAAAAAAGTGTATTATTGGTCAACTTGTCGAGAGAAATAGCCTATTCCAAACAGACTCTGGGACAATATATCCTACATTTATACAACCAGTAGGTCTAGGCCACAGAAAGAAAACGTTAAAAAGCAATGAGGCTGATGCAACCGATCAGAATGTTTTAGGTTAAAATGTTGATAAACTATTATTTCTTCACATTATAAGCGCAGCAATGTGTACAAGGCAGTAGGCTACGCGCAAATGTTTGTTCCATAATGCAATTAGCGGGAAAAAACGTTGTCAAAAGCGCACCGCACATGCAAGTGGTTTCATTTGACAGAGATTAAAATATATGTTACAAATGTAGAAAGAGGGTTGATCTAAAGATGCAACAACTAGCATGGGTGCTAATAGGACTAGGATTAGGCCTTTGGCTACAGGACAATGAAAGAAAGTTAATTTGGAAACCAATAGAACATGAGAGAAATAGGCTACTGGTTTCAATGACATATGGAAGTCTTTATAAAATAATTGCCTCAGTTTATGATCGGACTTTGGCTAGGCTACTTTGAAGCAAGGTAAGACATGCCTCATATGTAGTAAAACGTTCAGGTTTCAAACAATTAAGAATATGTTTTCAAAATGCGTACTGCCTCCAGCTCATTGCAAAGTGATGTGTGATGCGCTGATGTAGCCTGCCTTCCGTTGCCTATGCACTTGAATGGAATGGGAAGTGCGCTTCAATTATCAGTTGAGAAATAAAAAGCGTAGCTCTTTTAAATCATGACCATCTAAACTGTTTATAACACGCGATTTGCATTTAGAATTGTTGCACAATGATTGGGCTTATAAAAGCACGTTTAACTCCAGCAGCAACGAAAGAGCAGTTTGAGGCGCTGTAGCAGCAGCTCTCACATATTTTCTGCTCAAAGGCTGTATGCTGTATGCTGTTACTCATATGATAAATAAGATGCATAAGGAATATACACGAGGCAATTTAATTCCACAACATTATGCAAATGAACCTATAGACCGATAAGCACGACCGGTCAAATGTATTTCCATCAACTGGTATTTCCATCAATGATTAGGCTGAAAAGCATTATTTCGCAATGGGACTTTTTTTTCTGCCAATTGGCCGGAGCCAATCTTATTTATCGTCTTTTTAAAAAACTTTTAAAAAACTGGCTATTACCGGCTACCGGAAACCCTGACACACAACACACACACACATCATTGGCACCATCATGAAAGACAAACCCATGGAATATGTTTTCCATTGCCACACTCTTCTATATCATCATCATCACTACAGAGAGAAGTTATTCAAGGCTGTGCCATTCTCTTTTCCCATCTGTCTCTATGGTTCTGGATTTGAGTAGTGTTATGGGAATCTGACAGTGTTAGTAAATATTTTGATTCCTTTTGTATGAAGAGGATGGAGGTAGCCTACTTGTTGCTCTTGTTTGTATGGGTTACTGTTATAAAACGTTCTGACTCACACACTGTGTCCTTATATGGCAATGAAGTGTGTGTTCACTGAGGGACAGATTATAGTTACAGTGCCTTCAGAAAGTATTCATACCCCTTGACTTTTTCCACATTTTGTTGTTTTACAGCCTGCATTTATTAAATGGATTGAATTTATATTTTTGTCAGTGGAATTATGTTCTTTTAAAAATGTTTACAAATTAATAGAAAATTAAAAGCTGAAATGTCTTGCGTCAATAAGTATTCAATCCCTTTGTTATGGCAAGCTTAAAAAAGTTCAGGAGTGAATTTACTTAACAAGTCACATAAGTTGCAATGACTTAATAGTGTTTAACATGATTTTTTAAAAATGATTACCTCATCTCTGTACCCCACACATACAATTATCTGTTAGGTCCCTCAGTCGAGCAGTGAATTTCAAACACGGACTCAACCACAAAAAAACTGACATTGAATATCCCTTTGAGCATGGTGAAGTTATTAATTACACTTTGGATGGTGTATCAATACAGCGTCACTACAAAGATACAGGCGTCCTTCCTAACTCCGTTGCCAGAGAGGAAAGGAAACCGCTCAGGGATTTCACTGAGGCCAATGGTGACTTTAAAACAGTTAATGGCTGTGAGAGGAGAACTGAGGATGGATCAACAACATTTTAGTTACTCCACAATACTAACCTAATTGGCAAAGTGAAAAGAAGGAAGCCTGTACAGAATAATATTCCAAAGCATTTACATTTACATCATTTAGCATACGCTCTTTTCCAGAGCGACTTACAAATTGGTGCATTCAACTTATGATAGCAAGTGGGACAACCACTTGTTTTATTTTTTTTGTGGGGGAGGTGGGGGTAGAAGGATTGCTTTATACTATTCCAGGTATTCCTTAAAGAGGTAGGGTTTCAAGTGTCTCCGGAAGGTGGTCAGTGACTCTGCTGTCCTGGCGTCGTGGGGGAGCTTGTTCCACCATTGGGGTGCCAGAGCAGCAAATAGCTTTGACTGGGCTGAGCGGGAACTGTGCTTCTGTAGAGGTAGGGGAGCTAGCAGGCCAGAGGTGGATGAACATAGTGCCCTCGTTTGGGTGTAGGGTCTGATCAGTGCCTGAAGGTAAGGAGGTGCCGTTCCCCTCACAGCTCCGTAGGCAAGCACCATGGTCTTGTAGTAGATGCGAGCCTCAACTGGAAGCCAGTGGAGTGTGTGGAGGAGCGGGGTGACATGAGAGAACTTGGAAAGGTCGAACACCAGACGCGCTGCGGCGTTCTGGATAAGTTGTAGGGGTTTAATGGCACAGGCAGGGAGCTCAGCCAACAGCGAGTTGCAGTAATCCAGACGGGAGATGACAAGTGCTTGGATTAGTACCTCTGCCGCTTTCTGTGTAAGGTAGGGTCGTACTCTCCGAATGTTGTAGAGCATGAACCTGCAGGATCGGGTCACCGCTTTGATGTTAGCAGAGAACGACAGGGTGTTGTCCAGGGTCACGCCAAGGCTCTTTGCACTCTGGGAGGAGGACACAATGGAGTTGTCAACCGTGATGGCGAGATCATGGAGCGGGCGGTCCTTCCCAGAGAGGAAGTGCAGCTCCGTCTTGCCGAGGTTCAGCTTGAGGTGGTGATCCAACATCCACACTGATATGTCTGCCAGACATGCAGAGATGCGATTCGCCACCTGGTTATCAGAAGGGGGAAAGGAGAAAATGTAATTGTGTGTCGTCTGCGTAGCAATGATAGGAGAGACCATGTGAGGATATGACAGAGCCAAGTGACTTGGTGTATAGAAGAGAGCCTAGAACTGAGCCCTGGGGGACACCAGTGGTGAGAGCATGTGGTGCGGAGACAGATTCTAGCCACGCCACCTGGTAGGAGCGACCTATCAGGTAGGACGCAATCCAAGAGTGAGCAGCGCCGGAGATGCTCAACTCGGAGAGGGTGGAGAGGAGGATCTGATGGTTCACAGTATCAAAGGCAGCGGATAGGTCTAGAAGGATAAGAGCAGAGGAGAGAGAGTTAGCTTTAGCAGTGCGGAGAGCCTCCGTGACACAGAGAAGAGCAGTCTCAGTTGAATGACCAGTCTTGAAACCTGACTGGTTTGGATCAAGAAGGTCATTCTGAGAGAGATAGCAGGAGAGTTGGCTAGAGACGGCACGCTCAAGAGTTTTGGAGAGAAAATAAATAAGGGATACTGGTCTGTAGTTGTTGACATCGGAGGGATCGAGTGTAGGTTTTTTTGAGGAGGGGTGCAACTCTCGCTCTCTTGAAGACGGAAGGGACATGGCCAGCAGTCAAGGATGAGTTGATGAGCGTGGTGAGGTAAGGGAGAAGGTCTCAGGAAATGGTCTGGAGAAGAGAGGAGGGGATAGGGTCAAGCGGGCAGGTTGTTGGGTGGCCGGCCGTCACAAGTCGCAAGATTTCATCTGGAGAGAAAGGGGAGAAAGAAGTCAAAGCATAGGGTAGGGCAGTGTGAGCAGGACAAGCGGTGTCATTTGACTTAATAAATGAGGATCGGATGTCGTCAACCTTCTTTTCAAAATGGTTGACGAAGTCATCCACAGAGAGGGAGGAGGGAGGGGGAGGAGGAGGAGGATACAGCAGGGAGGAGAAGGTGGCAAAGAGCTTCCTACGGTTAGAGGCAGAGGCTTGAAATTTAGAGTGGTAGAAAGTGGCTTTAGCAGCGGACACAGAGGAAGAGAATGTAGAGAGGAGGGAGTGAAAAGATGACAGGTCCGCAGGGAGTCTAGTTTTCCTCCATTTCCGCTCGGCTGCCCGGAGCCCTCTTCTGTGAGCTCGCAATGAGTCGTCAAGCCACGGAGCAGGAGGGGAGGACCGAGCCGGCCAGGAGGATAGGGGACATAGAGAGTCAAAAGATGCAGAAAGGGAGGAGAGGATGGTTGAGGAGGCAGAATCAGGAGATCGGAGGGAGAAGGATTTAGCAGAGGGAAGAGATTATAGGATGGAAGAGGAGAGAGTAGCGGGAGAGGGAGAGCGAAGGTTGCGACGGCACATTTACCATCTGAGTAGGGGCAGAGTGAGTAGTGTTGGAGGAGAGCGAGCGAGAAAAGGATACAAAGTAGTGGTCGGAGACTTGGAGGGGAGTTGCAGTGAGATTAGTAGAAGAACAGCATCTAGTAAAGCATGCATCCTGTTTGCAACAAGGCACTAAAGTAATTGTGCAAAAGAAGTGGCAAAGCAATTAACTTTTTGTCCTGACTGCAAATCCAATACAACACATTACTGAGTACCACTCTCCATATTTTCAAGCAGTGGTGGCTGCATCATGTTATGGGTATGCTTGTAATCGTTAAGGGCTGCAGAGTTTTTCAGGATAAAAAAGAAACAGTTTGGAGCTAAGCGCAGGCAAAGTCTAGAGGAAAACCTGGTTCAGTCTGCTTTCCATCAGACACTGGGGGATGGGTTCACCTTTCAGCAGAACAATAGCCTAAAACACAAGGCTAAATCTACACTGGAGTAGCTTACCAAGACGACATTGAATGTTCCTGAGTGGCCGAGTTACAGTTTTGACTTAAATCTACTTGAAAATAAATGGCAAGACCTGAAAATGGTTGTCTAACAATGATCAACAACCAATTTGACAGAGCTTGAAGAATGTTATGAAGAATAAAGGGCAAATGTTGCACAATCCAGGTGTGGAAAGCTCTTAGAGACTTACCCAGAAAGACTCACAGCTGTAATCGCTGCCAAAGGTGTTTCTAACATGTATTGACTCAGGGGGTTGAATACTTCTCTAATATTATTTTTATTTTTTTCAAATATTAGAATGTTTCTTCCACTTTGACATTGGAGTATTTTGGGTAGATCGTTGACCAAAAAATGACATTTTAATCCCACGTTGTAACACAACAAAATGTGTAAAAAGTAAAGGGGTGTGAATACTTTCTGAAGGCACTGTACGTTCAAATTATTGGAAAATGCACTATAAAGTAGGGATGGGCATTTGAAATGATTTCATTATTCTAATAATATTTCGGATATCCGGATAGTCAAAACATACAGTGCATTCGGAAAGTATTCAGACCCTTTCACTTTTTCCACATTTTGTTACGTTACAGCCTTATTCTAAAATTGATTAAATTGTTTTTTTTTTACCTCATCAAACTCCACACAATATCACATAATGACAAAGCAAAAACAGGTTTTTAGAAATGTTTGCAAATGTATTAAAAATAATAAACCTGAAATATCACATTCACATAAATATTCAGACCCTTTACTCAGTACTTTGTTGAAGCACCTTTGGCAGCGATTACAGCCTTGAGTCTTCTTGGGTATGACGCTACAAGCTTGGCACACCTGTATTTGGGGAGTTTCTCCCATTTTTCTCTGCAGATCCTCTCAAGCTCTGTCTGGTTGGGTGGGGAGCGTCGCTGCACAGCTATTTTCAGGTCTCTCCAGAGATGTTCGATCTGGTTAAAGTGCGGGTTCTGACTGGACCACTGAAGGACATTCAGAGACTTTTCCCGAAGCCACTCTTGCGTTGTTGGCTGTGTGCTTAGGGTAGTGGTCCTGTTGGAAGGTGAAAATCAACAAAAAAAATATTTGTCACATACACGTGTTTAGCAGATGTTATAGCGGGTGTAGCGAAATGCTTGTGGTTCTAGCTCCAACAGTGCAGTAATATCTAACAGGTAATATCTAACAATTTCACAACATAAACCCAATATACACACAACTAGTAAGGAATGGGATTTAAGAATATATACATATATGGACAAGCAATGACAGAGCAGCATGGACTAAGATACAGTAGAATATTATAGAATAGAATGCAGTATATACGTATGAGATGAGTAGTGCAAGATATGTAAACATTATTAAAGTGACTAGTGTTCCATTTCTTAAAGTGGACAGTGATTTCAATAGGCAGCAGCAGCCTCTTAATGTGCTTGTAATGGCTATTTAACAGTCTGATGGCCTTGAGATAGAATCTGTTTTTCATTCTCTCGGTCCAAGCTTTGATGCACCTGTACTGACCTCGCCTTCTGGATGATAGCGGGGTGAACAGGCAGTGGCTCGGGTGGTTGATGTCCTTGATGATCTTTTTGGCCTTCCTGTGACATCGGGTGCTGTATGTGTCTTGGAGGGCGGGTAGTTTGCCCCCGGTAATGCGTTCGGCAGACCGCACCACCCTCTGGAGAGCCCTGCGGTTGTCGGCGGTGCAGTTGCCGTACCAGACGGTGATACAGCCCGACAGGATGCTCTCAATTGTGCATCTGTAAAAGTTTGTGAGGGTTTTAGGTTTTAAGCCGAATTTCTTCAGCCTCCTGAGGTTGAAGAGGCTCTTTTGCGCCTTCTTCACCACACTGTCTGCGTGGGTGGACCATTTCAGTTTGTCGGTGATGTGTACGCCAAGGAACTTGAAGCTTTCCACCTTCTCCACTGCGGTCCCGTCGATGTGGATAGGGCGGTGCACCCTCTGCTGTTTCCTGAAGTTCACGATCATCTCCTTTGTTTTGTTAATGTTGAGTGAGAGGTTATTTTCCTGGCACCACACTCCCAGAGCCTTCGCCCCAGTCTGAGGTCCTGAGCGCTCTGGAGCAGGTTTTCATCAAGGATCTCTCTGTACTTTGCTCTGTTCATCTTCCCCTCGACCCTGATTAGTCTCACAGTCCCTGCCGCTGAAAAACATCCCCACAGCATGATGCTGCCACCACCATGCTTCACCGTAGGGATGGTGCCAGGTTTCCTCCAGACGTGACGCTTGGCATTCAGGCAAAATAGTTACATCTTGGTTTCATCAGACCAGAGAATCTTGTTTCTCATGGTCTGAGAGTCTTTAGGTGCCTTTTGGCAAACTCCAAGCGGGCTGTCATGTGCCTTTTACTGAGGAGTGGCTTCCGTCTGGCCACTCTACCATAAAGGCCTGATTGGTGGAGTGCTGCAGAGATGGTTGTCCTGGAAGGTTCTCCCATCTCCACAGAGGAACTCTAGAGCTCTGACAGAGCTCCAATGGGGTTCTTGGTCACCTCCCTGACCAAGGCACTTCTCCCCGGATTGCTCAGTTTGGCCGGGCGGCCAGCTCTAGGGAGAGTCTTGGTGGTTCCAAACTTCTTCCATTTAAGAATGATGGAGGCCACTGTGTTCTTGGGGACCTTCAATGCTGCAGAAATTTTTTGGTATCCTTCCCCAGATCTGTGTCTCGACACAATCCTGTCTTGGAGCTCTATGGACAATTCCTTCGAACTCATGGCTTGGTTTTTGCTCTGATATGCACTGTCAACTGTGGGACCTTATATAGAGAGGTGTGTGCCTTTCCAAATCATGTCCAATCAATTGAATTTACCACAGGTGGACTCCAATCAAGTTGTAGAAACATCTCAAGGATGATCAATGGAAACAGGATGCACCTGAGCTCAATTTTGAGTCTTATAGCAAAGGGTCTGAATACTTATGTAAATAAGGGATTTCAGTTTTTTTATTTTTAATACATTTGCAAAAAATTCTAAACCTTTTTTTGCTTTGTCATTATGGGGTATTGTGTGTAGATTGATGAGGGAAAAATAATAATTTAATCAATTTTAGAATAAGGCTGTAACGTAACAAAATGTGGAAAAGGTCAAGGTGTCTGAACACTTTCCGAATGCACCTTTATATATATATTTTTTAATTGCTCTTGACCAATCAGAATGATGCAAATGCAGAGGGCAGTACAATAGCGGACGGGCTGCTTTTCTCCAGTCGTTTTTGGCTAACAGTGAAAGAGAAGTCTGATGTTCGCCATAATATAACTGATTTAACTGATTTTGGTACAGAAACGTTTTCTGGTGCGTGTTCTACATTGATCTGTGTTAGCTCCTCCGTTAGGTGTGCCTGTAATTGCTATTTGAAGAGTGGAAAATAGCATACCGTTGGCAAGGCTGACTAAAGGGCTAAATGCGCAGTAGTAGCGTGACGCACAGTCATAAAATCGACATTAAAAAGTGTATTTTAAATTATTTTCAAATGTCATATTATATCATGTTATTTTACAGTGTCAGGCTGATAATTTAATTTAATTAAGACGAGGCTTTTTCATTGATAAAATAGGCCTAAAATAAATTTGACAAAAATGAACACTCACACAAGTGTTCGAAATACTAACATCTGTTTTGGATATTTGAATAACTGTGCCCATCCCTCACATAAAGAGAGGAAAACGTCCTGGAAGACCGGTAGTGAATGGAACAACACAACAATACACTGGCCTTCAGATACTGACTTGAGTTGATCTGATACAGGCTTAGTATCCACAGTATAAGCACGGCACAAAAACAGACCTGCAGCACTATCATGAATGGCTTGTTTATGAACAGTGATCAACTAGTTGAAAAACTGAGTGCTTGTTTAAATTCCTTTGTCTAATTCAGGACAATTTGTATGCCTCGTTTAACCTGGGGCCCTAATGTTGGTTAATTAACATAGTTCTGTGTGTGTGCGCCTACAGTGTGTGTGTGACTGGCTGTGCTCGTGCGCGTAAAAGGGATTGCCTTTTGATGTGAAAGGAGTCAGTGTTGTCCTCTACAGGGCCTAGAACAGAGAGGAGACGGACAGTAAAACTCTTGTTTGATCAGAGCTCTGTTCTCTGGACAATTCGCCTGTTTAGCCTACTCTTCTTGCTTGTTGTGGCAAGGAGACGATGCATAGAAAATACTTAGTTATTGGTTGGAACAATACCCATGTTGAATCAACGCACATTGGATGCATGCAGTCATATTTTTATAGTACCCGTAGATGACAAACGATTGACACATGGGGTCTATTTCACACAATCTCTTTCTTTTGTACACAAACAGTCACACAGCCAGCCATGTAGACCCTCCAGTACTGTAGGCCCACACAGTCCCCTCTAATCCTATTCGGTCCAATTAGTGAAGAGTGGCTCTCTGTTGGGCTGTGTAGGTCTGTTGTGGGGACTGGGGAAGCTAGTAGGGGCCACCACATATCTCCCTACTTTGAAAACCCTGGATGATGCTGGACACTGCCATCCTGTTAGTCAAGCTGTTATTCAACATGAGCACCGTCTTTCATCTGATAGTCCATAACTAATGTGTTGATTTATTCCCTCTGTTCTTAGTTGCTATCCATGTCTTTTATAGTATCGAAAAACCGATCTGAGGCAACTGTGACTAGGGTCTGGTTTCAATGAGATAATTAGGCATAGAGGAACTACGTCACTGCCTACTTCACTACCTTACAAAATAGTAGCTAGCAAGATGGAGATCACAGAGGTTATTTTTGATGAGTGCATTTCGCATGGTTTGGCCTCCAAACTTTGCTGTGTGAATTTTTGGGAGAGTTGTCTGTCTGAAGAGGACCTACCCCGGAACAATTTATTTTCCCTTATCGAAGTTGCCAAAAGAGTCCGTAATTGAAACCAGACCCTAGTCACTGTTGCCAAGGGTCAGGTTTTCGAGACTGTCTTTGACCTGCATGAGAGCAAGTATTTGTTGTATTATAACGTTACATTAACAGTGTTTGTGTGTTTCAGTATCAAGTGGGACAGTTGTACTCAGTAGCACAGGCCAGTAAGAATGAGACGGGTGGAGGAGAGGGCATCGAGGTCCTCAAGAATGAACCCTATGAGAAGGAGGGCGAGAAAGGACAGTACACACACAAAATCTACCATCTGAAGAGGTAACACACACACAATATGTTCCACGTGCACCATCACTATCTTGCCAGCAAGTGGCAGTGTAGTCATTCCTGTCTTAATGTAGGTTTATAGTACCTGATATAGGCCTTCAAGACCATGACATTAAGATATCCCACTCTAGAACCTGTATGACTGGAGTTAGTGACTGTGTGTGTGTGTGTGTGTGTGTATCCATCTATCCTCCTCCCCTCTCCTTGGCTTTCACAGTAAAGTCCCTGCGTTTGTCAAGATGATTGCTCCTGAGGGCTCCCTGGTCTTCCATGAAAAGGCCTGGAACGCTTACCCTTACTGCCGAACCAGTGAGTCCTCTCCCCTCTCCTCTCCTGCCCTGGCCCTTCACTCCTCCCCTGTCCTGCCTGCACTCTGACCCACAGCGTTATGTATTAACTGACATTTTAATTTGACTCATTGTTAGGATTGTTTACATGAGTTTAGGGCTGTCCCCGACAAAAAAAGATCTTGGTTGACCGAAAGTTGTCTTTCTGTTCTTTCAACCAATCGATTGGTCTACATTTTTAAATGTGTATTTTTCCATATACAGTACCAGTCAAAAGTTTGGACACACCTACTCATTCCAGAGTTTTTCTTTATTTTTACTATTTTCTACATTGTAGAATAATCGTGAAGACATCAAAATTATGAAATAACACATGGAATAATTTAGTAACCAAAAAGTGTTAAACAAATCATAATATATTTTATATTTGAGATTCTTCAAAGTTTCTATCCTTTGCCTTGATGACAGCTTTGCACACTCTTGGCATTCTTTCAACCAGCTTCATGAGGTAGTCACCTGGAATGCATTTCAATTAACAGGTGTGCCTTGTTAAAAGTTACATTTTTTGGAATTTCTTTCCTTCTTAATGCGTTTGAGCCAATCAGTTGTGTTGGGACAAGGTAGCCCTATTTGGTAAAAGACCAGGGCCATATTATGGCAAGAACAGCTCAAATAAGCAAAGAGAAACGACAGTCCATCATTACTTTAAGACATGAAGGTCAGTCAATCCGGAACATTTCAAGAACTTTTAAAGTTTCTTCAAGTGCAGTCGTAAAAACCATCAAGCGCTATATGAAACTGGCTCTCATGAGGACCGCCACAGGAATGGAAGACCCAGAGTTACCTTTGCTGCAGAGGATAAGTTCATTAGTTACCAGCCTCAGAAATTGCAGCCCCAAAAAAATGCTTCACAGAGTTCAAGTAACAGACACATCTCAACATCAACTGTTCAGAGGAGACTGCTTGAATCAGGCCTTCATGGTCGAATTGCTTCAAAGAAACCACTAGTAAAGGACACCAATAATAAGAAGAGACTTACTTGGGCCAAGAAACACAAGCAATGGACATTAGACCGGTGGAAATGTGTCCTTTGTTCTGATGAGGCAAAATTTGAGATTTATGGTTCCAACCACCATGTCTTTGTGAGACGCAGAGTAGGTGAACAGATTATCTCTGCATGTGTGGTTCCCACCGTGAAGCATGGAGGAGGAGGTTTGATGGTGTTGGGGGTGCATTGCTGGTGACACTGTCAGTGATTTTATTTAGAATTCAAGGCACTCTTAACCAGCATGGCTACCGCAGCATTCTGCAGCGATACGCCATCCCATCTGGTTTGCTCTTAGTAGGACTATCATTTGTTTTTCAACAGGACAATGACCCAACAGACCTCCAGGCTGTGTAAGAGCTATTTGACCAAGAAGGAGAGTAATGGAGTGCTGCATCAGATGACCTGGCCTCCACAATCCCCCGACCTCAACCCAATTGAGATGGTTTGGGATGAGTTGGACCGCAGAGTGAAGGAAAAGCAGCAAACAAGTGTTCAGCATATGTGGGAACTCCTTCAAGACTGTTGGAAAAGCATTCCTCATGAAGCTGGTTGAGAGAATGCCAAGTGTGCAAAGCTGTCATCAAGTCAAAGGTGAGCTACCATGAAGAATCTAAAATATAAAATATATTTTGATTTGTTAACACTTTTTTGGTTACTACATGATTCCATGTGTTATTTCATAGTTTTGATGTCTTCACTATTATTCTACACTGTAGAAAATAGTAAAAACAAAGAAAAACCCTTGAATGAGTAGGTGTGTCCAAACTTTAGACTAGTACTGTATATACACACCCTATGTGTTCTTAATAAAATCAACTACAGTATATAATTGTCTGATGCTGTTTGATTAAATAAGACACAAATTACTCAAGAGGGAGCCAGAGATCAAGATAACCAGAAGAGAAAAACCTTAACCTGACCGACCATCCTCCTCCCACTCCTGCTGGCTTTCGCAGATTCTGCCATTACTCTCCTGAAGTTGCCGGTAATAGGCTACACGAGGAGTCGGCAGCCTTTCTCATGTGGAATGCCAATTTATCTTACAATTTCTACCGATCTGCGTGCCAGTTATGGTGTTCATATGCACATTGTCGTGGAACAGTTTCATTTAATTTATCACAACACGGCCTCCGTGGATGGCACAGTCCAAGAAGAAGGGGAGTGTGGCTAAAATGCATGTCTCGCTCCAGAATGCGCTCTCTCCCGCCAATTTGTGCACATTCATTGTTTCATATCTTCATTGTGTGAATTGTTTGCCTTGATTGTTAGTGTCTATCATTTCCCCAGCCCTACATGAGTTGCATGATTCTATCTTTCTTTTCCTGTTTTGGATGGATATCTAACGATTAATCTCTCTTTGGTGTCTTCTCATGATTCGCCTGTGGCCAGTTGTAACGGTAAGTAGCTTCAAATGACCCTCACTCTGTTTTAGTTTTTATCTCACTGTTTGTATGGTAGTTGTTTGTGCGTGCGGGTGGCTAGTTCGTCCGTGTGAATGTGCGTCAGTGTTTGTGAATAGAACTTGTCAACATATTGCTTCAATGATGAATAATGTAGCAATTAAGCCAATGCATGTACATATTTATTGGGTAGGAGGTCTCTGTTGTGGACATGACTAGCAATGTAAATCTACTAGGAAATTTAGAGGGTTTTATTGCCTTCAGCTTTAGTAATGATTTCCCACCACCTTCCTCCAGAATGAGTATATGAAAGATGACTTCATCATTAAGATTGAGACATGGCACAAACCTGACCTTGGCACAGTAGAAAACGTGAGTACTTTTATCTGTCATTCAAAATGAGTTGGATTAATGACAATTTTCTCTTTATAAGAATCTCACTGTAAATGCAATTGATGGCTGTCTGCATCAGCTAATATCTGACTTTGAAGTGTCCTTTTGAATTGTAGCTCTCATGCTTATGCCTGGCTTTGATTGGCAGGTGCACAAGCTGGACGCGCCCACATGGAAGAGTGTGGAGGTGGTGCCCATTGACATTGCAGATGGAGAACAAGTGGCCCCTGCTGTGAGTACTCCCCTCTGATATTGCTGTCATGCCACACTCAATAAAGCCCTGGATAGTACTGTTTGGCACCATCATGTGGAGAGACTTGGGCATTGCAAAGCAAGCCAAATATACTCAGATTTGACACAAAAATGGCAAATACACACATTCCTAGTAAGCTTTTCCTGAGTTGATGTGTTCTATTCCATGTCACCTGCCAGTAAGATGATATGGGCAAAAAATCTAGGCCTATTGCGATTTAGATCCAAGCACTTAGGTGAACTGTTGGAATCATGAAAATATTATGATTATTCTAATTATATAGTTGGAATATAGTGGGCAGCACTTTAAATACATTGTTTGACAACAAATTAAAAAGCCAGCGAGGAATTATTGTGTCAGGTTAGGAACCAAAGTATTGGTCAGTGTTTCCCAATGGACCCTAATTAGATGTTACATTCCATGTTTTTCCCAGAGTTTTCATTATCAATTAAATTCAAAGGGCTTTATTGGCATGAGAAACATGTTTACATTGCCAAAGCAAGTGAAATAGAAAATAAACAAAAGTGAAATAATCAATCAAAAATGAACAGTAAATATTACACTCACAAGTTTCAAAGGAATTGACACATTTCAAATGTCATATTATGGCTATTTACATTTTACATTTTAGTCATTTAGCAGACGCTCTTATCCAGAGCGACTTAGTTATTGAGTGCATACATTTTCATACTGGCCCCCCGTGGGAAACGAACCCACAACCCTGGCGTTGCAAGCGCCATGCTCTACCAACTGAGCTACAGGGGACTACAATGATGTGTATAATGATGTGCAAATAGTTAAAGTACAAAAGGCAAAATAAATAAACACATGCATTGTATTTACAATGGTGTTTGTTCTTCACTGGTTGCCCTTTTCTTGTTGCAACAGGTCACAAATATTGCTGCTGTGATGGCACACTGTGGTATTTCAGCCAATAGATATGGGAGTTTATCAAAATTGGATTTGTTTTGGAATTCTTTGTGGGTCTGTGTAATCTGAGGGAAATATTTGTCTCTAATATGGTCATACATTTTGCAGGAGGTTAGGAAGTGCAGCTCAGGCTTTATTAGCTAGCTACGTTTGCTCTGACTGAGTACATACAGTGGCTTGCGAAAGTATTCACCCCCCTTGGCATTTTCCTATTTTGTTGCCTTACAACCTGGAATTAAAATTGATTTTTGGGGGTTTAGACAAAATAAGACACAAAAACAGAACTTGAGCGTGCATAACTATTCACCCCCCCCAAAGTCAATACTTTGAAGAGCCACCTTTTGCAGCAGTTACAGCTGCAAGTCTCTTGGGGTATGTCTCTATAAGCTTGGCACATCTAGCCACTGGGATCTTTGCCCATTCTTCAAGGCAAAACTGCTCCAGCTCCTTCAAATTGGATGGGTTCCGCTGGTGTACAGCAATCTTTAAGTCATACCACAGATTCTCAATTGGATTGAGGTCTGGGCTTTGACTAGTCCATTCCAAGACATTTAAATGTTTCCCCTTAAACCACTCGAGTGTTGCTTTAGCAGTATGCTTAGGGTCATTGTCCTACTGGAAGGTGAACCTCCGTCCCAGTCTCAAATCTCTGGAAGACTGAAACAGGTTTCCCCTCAATAATTTCCCTGTATTTAGCGCCATCCATCATTCCTTCAATTCTGACCAGTTTCCCAGTCCCTGTGATGAAAAACATCCCCACAGCATGATGCTGTCACCACCATGCTTCACTGTGGGGATGGTGTTCTCGGAGTGATGAGAGGTGTTGGGTTTGCGCCAGACATAGCGTTTTCCTTGGTGGCCTAAAAGCTACATTTTAGTCTCATCTGACCAGAGTACCTTCTTCCATATGTTTGGGGAGTCTCCCACATGGCTTTTGGCGAACACCAAACGTGTTTTGCTTTTTTTTTCTTTAAGCAATGGTTTTTTTTCTGGCCACTCTTCAGTAAATCCTAGCTCTGTGGAGTGTACGGCTTAAAGTGGTCCTATGGACAGATACTCCAATCTCTGCTGTGGAGCTTTGCAGCTCCTTCAGTGTTATCTTTGGTCTCTTTGTTGCTTCTCTGATTAATGCCCTCCTTGCCTGGTCCGTGAGTTTTGGTGGGCGGCCTTGGTCTTTTGGAGAGCTCCTTGGTCTTCATGGTGCCGCTTGCTTCGTGGTGCCCCTTGCTTAGTGGTGTTGCAGACTCTGGGGCCTTTCAGAACAGGTGTGTGTATATATACTGAGATCATGTGACAGATCATGTGACACTTATATTTTACACAGGTGGACTTTATTTAACTAATTATGTGACTTCTGAAGGTAATTGGTTGCACCAGATCTTATTTATGGGCTTCATAGCAAAGGGGGTGAATACATATCCACGCACCACTTTTCCGTTATATATTTTTCCGAATTTTTTGAAACAAGTAATTTTTTTCATTTCACTTCACCAATTTGGACTATTTTGTGTATGTCCATTACATGAAATCCAAATAAAAATCAATTTAAATTACAGGTTGTAATGGAACAAAATAGGGAAAACGCTAAGGGGAATGAATACTTTTGCAAGGCACTGTATAGGTAGCTGGCTAGCCAGCTAACGATTAGAATTAGCGGCTAACACAATTTATTTTAGCCACAACTTGCTAAGAAAATACAAACTAGTTGTTTGCAGACAGTGAGATACACAAACTCATAGTGTAGATATAGAACTCTTGTGGATTTATATTAAGAAGCAAAGTGGAAAGCAGCATCATTGTCATCTGACCATGCAGACAGAGTGAACAGCAACTTGTCGGCAAGTGCCCGTGACTACTAGGTCGAGCAAGTAGTGATGTGCAGTTCGTGAAAGATTTCGTTATTTTTGAACGACTCATTTTACTGACTCTAGAGTCATGATTAATTTTTCCGAGTGACTCGTTCATTTTAGTTGTTTGTTTCAGCTGCTGGCTGCAATGATTTCTACAGTAGGATTATTACGCGCTTCTCCGATTCAACGGCTCTGGAGACGTGCTCCGGCTGTCTATCATGTGCGCGCAGAATAATAGATAATCTTGCTTCAGGCAACATAGAGAAGGAAAATACATGTTTAGAGCTCTTAAATGATCACACTGTGCAAGAATGAATGCAATCAATTGATTATTGAATCTTATGGATGGACGCAGCCTACACAGCCTGCCTCTGCTCAACACTCGGAACTCACAAACAAATCGTTTCGATGGCTGCTGCCGTTCGCAAACGATAGTTATTGGGAAAATCTCCCTTGCTGAAGTCGAGCAATTGCATTCCGCCAAGAATCGTTCACAATCTAGTCCGGTTGCGGCTGGATCTAGACCTTGTTTCAAAGGAATAAATAAATAATCTTCTTTGTATGCCCAGAAATCTCAAATGTACATTGTTTGAATCATAGTTTTATAAGTCACTACTGACTCAAATGAACGAAATGAGTCGAAAGATTAGGTATTTTGACTGAACGAGTCAAAGATTCGAGTCAGTAAAAAGAGCTGAACTTCCCAATACTACGAGCAACAACTTGCTCTCCTTGAGTGATGGGACAGGGCTTGGTGTGGGAGGCACATGGGGAAGCAGCATGCAGGAGGAGAGGGATGACTCAAGTAGCAAACAGAGTAAACTATAAAAATGGACATTACACGCACGGGAGAGTGGCGTATCATATTTAACAAACCAAACATTGAAATACCGTTGTAGAAGGTTAAGTAAAAACCCAAACCGGTCCGTGCATCAAATATACCTGTATATAGTAAAATACGGTATACCGCCCAGCACTACCTGCCAGGTAAGGAAACTATGGTGCATAGTTTCTTCTCCTCTGCAGGTTCTGAAACCCCTCAAATCAGTATGGTGTTGGAAGCTCTGCAATTATAATTAATATGGTGAAGTTGGTATCATTTCTCAAGTTTCTTCCTTTCAAATCCATAAGGTTCCTTGTACCAATGCTGGTAATTCATTGCTATTATTTGGCAAGGCATTGCCTCATTTCACAGAGTCTGTTGGTAAGTGGAGTGTGTGCGAGTGCGTGTGGTTATTTGCCTGAGTAGCAGCAGCAGTGTGTGTTTGCAGTAGGTGTCTAACGAGGCGGACGTGTTTGCCTTGCTGGAGGAGTGTTGTGTCTGAGGGCCCTATCAGGTCTGTGCCTCAGGCATGACTGCAAGGCCTGGGTCGCCAAGGGACCACAGATGAGTTTGTTAGTGTAATTAAGGCTCACAGCGCTCCATACGCTGGTCAATGACACACACACACACACACACACACACTCCTTCAGTGAACAGCAGCTCCTCTCCCTCGGCCCAGGCACATCGATTCACAGAATCATTAGAGCAGCACAGTATATTGTTATAGTGAAGGAGCTTTCAGCATTATAACGGGCAAATGAATAAGTTTGCTTCTGCCGTTCTGTTCGTTTGTCTCCCTCCTGTCGGCTGATAGCCCTGAAAAGCAGCTTTTAGCTGCGGGCGCATCATGATTTATTTAAAATTGCTGGGCCCTTGAGCTGTCGGTAATTTGAAAGGCGTTTTGTTTATTTGTTTTATAATTTTTTCCACACCAGTTGACTTTGCACAGTATCAAAAGCACAGAATATGTTACTTTTGATACTTCTGTCAAATGTGTCTCACGGACAAGTCTGTCAGTGCAGCCGATGTCCCACATGGAGCGCACCTTGCCTGCTCCACATACTCAGTGCTAGTATGTGGAGTCTGGGCTGCATCATGTTAAGCTCTCCACTCATGCTGCGCAGAAGTTAACACTCTTGAATAATGCGACACGGCATCTAGAAATGTTGAAACTGTTAATTACTGTTTGCAAAACAATGTCCATACAGGCTAGAATAACTTTACAATGCAAGAAGATACTGGTAGCTTCCAATTTTTTTAGGCTAACTTTCTTTGCTAGCTTACAGCTGAAACTAACATCAATTCACTACCCTAGTACTTTCTCTGCAAAACATAATGCAAAATATGCTGATTTCAAAGCTCATTGCCTCAAAAACGTTCTTTATTCATTTAGTAGGGCTCCCTCACGTCTCTCCCTCAGCCAAATATTTATTGCCTCCGCGAACTGCACCTCTCTTAGCTCGTAAATGAGAGCACACACTTTAAAAAAATAAGCTACTAATATGCAGATGTTGATCAGGACAATAAAATAAGTGCCTCATGGAAGGGAAACATATTGTTTGTCATCTGTAGCTTCATGAAATCAGCCAAAACAAGGTCAATAACTCAATGCATGCACACACTCCTATTGAATATGCATTCATCTGTATTGTGAATAGACCTAGGGTATATCTTTATTTATCCAGTTTATCAATAGAGATTTATCATTAAAATAAATTATTACCGTTATGTAGTTTAGATTTGGTAAAAACAGTCAAATTGATTGTATAATTGGTTCATTTTAAAAGAAAACTCTGCCCAAGTTTTCAAGATATGTAACTTTCAAAATACAGAAATGTGATTTTGTGTTTTCAAGTTACATATCTTGAAAACTTGATTACTGACATGCAACAGATTTTGGGACTATATCAACAATGGACTAATTAAACAAATACCAAAAGAGTTTTTGGGTGGATTTTCCTTTAATGCAAACATGGCTGTCTCTGAAAAAGTCTGATGTAGAACATTTCAAATGTAATGGTATTGAACTCAAACGATTGAACCGAGCAGTAGCTGAGTTTCTGTCTGGATGAAGTGCCATTCTGCAGCTTTAGCTAATATGCCTTATTTTTGTGCCGTGGTATCGTTTTTTAATCGAGTATCGTGATGCTATCGAGTATTGTGATACTAAACCTGGTATCGGTATCGAAGTCAAAATTCTGGTATCGTGACTGTGTGTGTGTGTGTGTGCTGCTTGTGTATTATGCCACTGGAGTGTGTATCTACTCTCCTGCTGCACTAGTGAGATAGATAGAACTGTATGTTTGGCTGTGGTAGTGAATAGGTTCAGTGCTTGTGTTTTGGTGAAGTAGTGTTACTGTGCTCCCAGCATCATGATACAGTGTGTCACAGGACGTGAGGAGGATAGCCCTGTGCCTAGGAGCAGGCTCTCCTCAGCCTGGCCCTGAGTGGAGGAGTCGTCAGACAAGGGCCTCGAGGTCATTTGCTGTCGGCAGGCAGCCGCCCTACATGCAATCATGCACGCCATCAGACACACACGTACACACTCACACACACATTGGCATCAGCCAGCATCCTCCTGCCATCTGTAATCTCAGCACAGCCGTTTGCTGGTGGCATCGACAACTTCCAACCTGACAGCCTCCCCATCCCGGCCCCTGCCCAGCTCAGCCCAGACATGGTGCAGGTCATGAACTGGGGACTGAGGAGGGCACAGGGCTGGGCTTTGGTGTTGCATCCTGTGGCCAGGAGAAAGGGGCTGCCAGGCTGAGTTGTGGGGGGCAGATCTAGCCTGGGAGACTCTACAATGACCCCTCTCATGGCAGTGCCTCCCCTTGCCCCTTTGCCCAGAGGGTGGTCAGCATTAGTGCAGGGCCAGCGCTCACAGACACCCCACAGACACATGGGCTAGAGGGGTTTAGACGGCCCTCTATCACTAATGTTGAATGCAGATGTGTTGGAATTATTTGTTCAGTGTTCTGATTATTAGTGTTAACTGTTATCCTTCTCTTCCCTGTCCAGGACTACAAGGCAGAGGAGGATCCTGCTCTGTTCAAGTCAGCTAAGACTGGGAGAGGGCCCCTGGGACCTAATTGGAAGGTACGCCTCTCACTGGAACACCCTGGGAAGAAAGGAGGGAAAAGAGCTTGTTGGCAATGTAGTCATGGGTTGGATCCAAAATTAATTTCCAATCGTTTCGTTCTGAACAGAAACATACTTTTTTTTGTTCTGTTGCACTGTTCTAACCAGCAAAATAAAGTTCAGAACCGGTTCGAATCCCAAAAAATGTATGGTTTATATCGTTCCTTTTTAAACCTCTACATTTAGCTCAACATTCAATTACTTCACCAATCAGTGCGGCTTGTCCAGTGTTGGTGATCGCGTGCCCGCTGGAGCCGATTCTTTTTAGCTGATAGGAGTGGAAACTGGTGTGGTCGTCTGCTGCAATAGCCCATCCGTGACAAGGACGACGCGTTCTGAGATGCGATTCGGCACACCACTGTTGTACTGCGCCGTTATTTGCCTGTTTGTAGGCCCGCCTGTTAGTCTGCACAATTCTTGCCATTCTCCTTCAACCTCTCTCGTCAATTAGCTGTTTTCGCCCACATTACTGCCACTGACTGGATGTTTTTTATTTGTCGCACCATTCTCTGTAAACCCTAGACACTGTTGTGCGTGAAAAGCCCAGGAGGCCGGCCGTATCTGAGCTACTGGAACCGGCGCGTCTGGCACCGACGATCATACCATGCTCAAATCCGCTTAGGTCACTCGTTTTGCCCATTCTAACGTTCAATCTAACAGTAACTGAATGCCTCCTTTATATAGCAAGCCACGTGACTCACTGTCTGTAGGAGCAAACCATTTTCATGAACGAGGTGATAAATGGGGTAATAAATTGGTCACGGAGTGTATGGCTATCATTGGACAAGCATTAGTGTGTGTGTGTGAGAAGGAGTCCCTCAGACGGGATGGAGGAGGAGAGGAGGAGAGGGAGGTCTGAGTGGCAGAGCTGTAGGCTGCAGTTTGATGAAGACAAATCACAGCTCTCACTGCTCTAATTGGACGTAATAGAAATCACAAGGGATCAGGTCAGATTAGGCCCTCCTGTCTCAGCCCTGCCCACATCCTCACACTCTTTATTTTCAGCCAGCCAGATGAGGGTGTGTATGTACGCGGCTGTCTGCTCCGGGGTTTGTGTGTGGTATCTTAGTTTGAGCTAGGAACAGTTCAGTATGATGAGTCTGGGAGGTATTTGTTTGTGAAAACTGAGAGGTAATGAAAACGGCTCATCCAGAGACACTAGTGGTCTCGCCCCTAACCCCTCATCTACAGCCGTACAAACAGGCCCAGGATCACACTGTTTAATGGCAGACAAGTTAGAATCTCCATGTGTGAAAGTTTCCCTGTACTGTGACAACTTGCACAGATTAAAGACTGCTGAACAGCTTTATAAAGTCTGAATAAAATTAGATCACTTTCCCCCAGCCTTGGACATGGAAACTCCCAACTTTTGGGGAAAGAAATTAGAGAAAAACAATCATAGTTAAAGTGACATAAGAGAAAACAATTGGTGCCAGCTTCTCAGAACTGTAAAAGTATTGTCTATCACTGCATGCACACCCATCGTCACACTTTGTATTTCTGAATTCTCCTGCTCCTTTGAGCAGGGCGACGAGAGACGTAGTGAAGAAATGTCACCGTAAGTGTTTTGATGTGGGATCTGTTTTATCTGAAGTTCTCTTTTAGCGGTGACAACTTCTCTAGCTAAACCCTACGCATATGTAGAATGTTTTTCATTCCCCTCTCTTCCTCTCTCTCTCCCGTGATGGGAGCATCAAACAGTTATGAGATGTGGGTGATGTCGGCAGGTCTGTGGCATTTCTCCCTGTGTGCTGCGCTAGAATTAAGTGATTAATGAAACAGGTGTTCTGGGATGGTGTGTTTGTGTGTTCTGGGGGCGAGGAGGTCCTGGGTGTTAATATTGGAACCGGCTTTGCGCCGAGGCGCTCTTATCGCTGCGCGATGCGATAACGGTGTCCCAGCCACAAAGGCCTGCCTGTTTGGGAACCGTGTCACTGTCAGGGTGGAGCGAGAGAAATGGTCCCTTCATCTGGAGCTTATCCACTTTGCTCTCGCTCCCTCCTCCTCATCTCTCTCTCCTCTTCCTCTCAGGGAGACAGAGTGCAAGCTACAGATGGATTTAAAACTGTTTTGTAGATGAGAGGACTTTTATCCATCTACTGCATATTCTCATATCGATAATTATTTTAGTAACCTTCGTTTCCAAAGCATTATGTATTAATGACATTTTAGTGGTTGGCATACCGCTGAGATTGGTCTAAACCGATATTTTTTTCTTAAATCACATTCTGCTTTCTTCTCCTTGAGAGTTCCATTATTGGAAAGTTTGCATAAACTTTGCCTATTTGCATATTCACAGTTTTGTAATATCATGTGTCAACGTAAATGATGGATAATTGAGTGTCTTCTTGCTGTGCAGTGATTGCTCAGTGTCTGTTCTCCTGTTGTGTTGCTACTAACAGAAGGAGCTGGTTAGTAAGGCTGATTGCCCGAGGATGTGTGCCTACAAACTGGTCACGGTCAAGTTCAAGTGGTGGGGCCTGCAGAACAAGGTGGAGAGCTTTATTCACAAGGTAAGGATTTTTTTTGGGTCACGTTTCCCCCCCCATCCTTTTATTCTGTCACTATCTGACACATTCTTATTTTTTCCTTGTAATCTCTCTTTCTTTCCCTGTAAATGCCTCTTCACATGTTCTTCTCTCCTCCAGCAAGAGAAGCGTATCTTCACTAACTTCCATCGCCAGCTGTTCTGTTGGATCGACAAGTGGGTGGAGCTGACTATGGAAGACATCAGGCGGATGGAGTCGGAGACACAAAAGGAGCTGGAGGAGGTATGTAGAGGAACATATAGGACTACCAACAGGAGAAGGGTTCAATACTTACCAGGTCTTACTAAACTCAAAACCTCCAAAACCTTTAGAGCGAGTGTGCTGTTTTTAGGCATAATCTCTTTAGCATTGTCATGGTAGCAGATCCCAGCATACTGTGCAGTGTGGGTGTGGTGTTTGCCTTCAATAAATTCACAGGTTTTCCTGAGATCCCGGTTGGGAGATCCACGGAATCAGGAGGGAATAAGCAGGAAATCCGGTATCCTTCAACCAGGCATTCTGGAAAACCAGGGAATTTATTGAATGTTCCTGGAATTTTGCAACCTTGGTCTTGACCATGGTTGGGTAGCAGGCTGTCTTGGCCTGTCTGTGGTGTCGTTCCTCTGAGAGAGACAGTAGTGATGTTTGGAAGCTCATTAGAAGAGTCATCAAAATCTCCCAGTTGGACCTCTGGGAGTGATGCTGGTTGGTCTCTTCTTCATAAGTGGTTTTTAGTGGTGCTGAAACCCACAACATTCACTAAATTCTTATCTCTCCCTAGATGCTTTTCCCCTAATCAATTTCTGATTACCGGTATTATTCTTACTTTTCATTGAAAATCGGAGCTAAACATCCTGTTTATCGATTTCAATATGTCAAATCAACGAAAAACTAAAACCATGTATGATTTTATGACATTGTAATTTTTCCCATCTTACAGTGCATTTGGAAAGTAGTCAGACCTTATTCTAAAAGGGATTACATCATTTTCCCTCATCAATCTACACACAATACCCCATAATGACAAAGCGAAACAGGTTTTTAGACATTTTTGCATCCTGTTTCCATTGATCATCCTTGATATGTGTCTACAACTTGATTGGAGTCCACCTGTGGTAAATTCAATTGATTGGACATGATTTGGAAAGGCACACACCTGTCTATATAAGGTCCCATAGTTGACAGCGCAGAGCAAAAACCAAGCCATTAGGTCGAAGGAATTGTCCGTAGCGCTCCAAGACAGGATTGTGTCGAGGCACAGATCTGGGGAAGGGTACCAAAATATGTCTGCAGGATTGAAGGTCCCCAAGAACACAGTGGCCTCCATCATTCTTAAATGGAAGAAGTTTGGAACCACCAAGACTCTTCCTAGAGCTGGCCGCCCGGCCAAACTGAGCAGTCTGTGGAGAAGGGCCTTGGTCAGGGAGGTGACCAAGAACCCGATGGTCACTCTGACAGAGCTCCAGAGTTCCTCTGTGGAGATGGGAGAACCTTCCAGAAGGACAACCATCTCTGCAGCACTCCACCAATCAGGCCTTTATGGTAGAGTGGCCAGACGGAAGCCACTCCTCAGTAAAAGGCACATGACAGCCCGCTTGGAGTTTGCCAAAAGGCACCTAAAGATGAAAATGTATGCACTGGATAAGAGCGTCTGCTAAATGACTAAAATATAAATGTAAAAATGTAAGACTCTCAGACCATGAGAAACAAGATTCTCTGGTCTGATGAAACCAAGATTGAACTTTTTGGCCTGAATGCAAAGCATCACGTCTGGAGGAAACCTGGCACCATCCCTACGGTGTAGCATGGTGGTGGCAGCGTCATGCTGTGGGGATGTTTTTCAGCGGCAGGGACTGGGAGACTAATCAGGGTCGAGGGAAAGATGAACAGAGCAAAGTACAGCGAGGTCCTTGATGAAAACCTGCTCCAGAGCGCTCAGGACCTCAGACTGGGGCAAAGCTTCACCTTCCAACAGGACAACGACCCTAAGCACACAGCCAAGACAACGCAGGAGTGGCTTCGGGACAAGTCTCTGATTGTCCTTGAGTGGCCCAGCCAGAGCCAGAGCCTGGACTTGAACCCGATCGAACATCTCTGGAGAGACCTGAAAATAGCTTTGCAGCGACGTGCCACATCCAATCTGACAGAGCTTGAGAGGATCTGCAGAGAAGAATGGGAGAAACTCCTTAAATACAGGTGTGCCAAGCTTGTAGCATCATACCCAAGAACATTCAAGGCTGTAATCACTGCCAAAGGTGCTTCAACAAAGTACTAAGTAAAGGGTCTGAATACTTATGTAAATGTAATATTTCAGTTACATGACTGTTTTCCCTCTATCTTGATTCATTTAATGACCATATTTTCTTTAAAGTTCCAGTGCAGTCAAAAATGTGATTTTCCTGTGTTTGTGTGTGTGTGTATATATATATATACAGTGGGGAAAAAAAGTATTTAGTCAGCCACCAATTGTGCAAGTTCTCCCACTTAAAAAGATGAGAGAGGCCTGTAATTTTCATCATATGTACACGTCAACTATGACAGACAAATTGAGAAAAGAAAATCCAGAAAATCACATTGTATGATTTTTAATGAATTTATTTGCAAATTATGGTGGAAAATAAGTATTTGGTCACCTACAAACAAGCAAGATTTCTGGCTCTCACAGACCTGTAACTTCTTCTTTAAGAGGCTCCTCTGTCCTCCACTCATTACCTGTATTAATGGCACCTGTTTGAACTTGTTATCAGTATAAAAGACACCTGTCCACAACCTCAAACAGTCACACTCCAAACTCCACTATGGCCAAGACCAAAGAGCTGTCAAAGGACACCAGAAACAAAATTGTAGACCTGCACCAGGCTGGGAAGACTGAATCTGCAATAGGTAAGCAGCTTGGTTTGAAGAAATCAACTGTGGGAGCAATTATTAGGAAATGGAAGACATACAAGACCACTGATTATCTCCCTCGATCTGGGGCTCCACGCAAGATCTCACCCCGTGGGGTCAAAATGATAAAAAGAACGGTGAGCAAAAATCCCAGAACCACACGGGGGGACCTAGTGAATGACCTGCAGAGAGCTGGGACCAAAGTAACAAAGCCTACCATCAGTAACACACTACGCAGCCAGGGACTCAAATCCTGCAGTGCCAGACGTGTCCCCCTGCTTAAGCCAATGCATGTCCAGGCCCGTCTGAAGTTTGCTAGAGTGCATTTGGATGATCCAGAAGAGGATTGGGAGAATGTCATATGGTCAGATGAAACCAAAATAGAACTTTTTGGTAAAAACTCAACTCCTCGTGTTTGGAGGACAAAGAATGCTGAGTTGCATCCAAAGAACACCATACCTACTGTGAAGCATGGGGGTGGAAACATCATGCTTTGGGGCTGTTTTTCTGCAAAGGGACCAGGACGACTGATCCGTGTAAAGGAAAGAATGAATGGGGCCATGTATAGTGAGATTTTGAGTGAAAACCTCCTTCCATCAGCAAGGGCATTGAAGATGAAACGTGGCTGGGTCTTTCAGCATGACAATGATCCCAAACACACCACCCGGGCAACGAAGGAGTGGCTTCGTAAGAAGCATTTCAAGGTCCTGGAGTGGTCTAGCCAGTCTCCAGATCTCAACCCCATAGAAAATCTTTGGAGGGAGTTGAAAGTCCGTGTTGCCCAGCGACAGCCCCAAAACGTCACTGCTCTAGAGGAGATCTGCATGGAGGAATGGGCAAAAATACCAGCAACAGTGTGTGAAAACCTTGAAGACTAAGAAAACGTTGACCTTGTCATGCCAACAAGGGTATATAAAGTATTGAGAAACTTTGTTATGACCAAATACTTATTTCCACATAATATGCAAAGTAAATTCATAAAAAACAATGTGATTTTCTGGTTTTTTTCTCATTTGTTGCTAGAGTACCTATGATGAATTACAGCTCCCTCATCTTTTAGTGGAGAACGCAAATGGTGGCTGATAAATACGCCCACGTGTGTATATATATATATATATATATATATATATATATATATATATATCTACTATATATTATATATATATATATATATATATATATCTATAATAGACATCAAAACTATGGTAGCTTAGTGGTTAAGAGCGTTGTGCCAGTAACCGAAAGGTCGCTGGTTCTAATCCCCGAGCCGACTAGGTGAAAAATCTGTCGATGTGCCCTTGAGCAAGGCACTTAACCCTAATTGCTCCTGTAAGTCGCTCTGGATAAGAGCGTCTGCTAAATGACTAAAATGTAAATGTAAAATGTAAATAACACATGGAATCATGTAGTAACCAAAAAAAGTAGCCACCCTTTGCCTTGATGACAGCTTTGCACACTCTTGGCATTCTCTCAACCAGCTTCACCTGGAATGCTTTTCCAACAGTCTTGAAGGAGTTCCCACATATGCTGAGCAATTGTTGGCTGCTTTTCCTTCACTCTGCGGTCAAACTTATCCCAAACCATCTCAATTTGGTTGAGGTCGCGGGACTTTGGAGGCCAGGTCATCTGATGCAGCACTCCATCACTCTCCTTCTTGGTAAAGTAGCCCTTACACAGCCTGGAGGTGTGTTGGGTCATTGTCCTGTTGAAAAACAAATGATAGTCCCACTAAGCCCAAACCAGATGGGATGGCGTATCGCTGCAGAATGCTGTGGTGGCCATGCTGGTTAAGTGTGCCTTGAATTCTAAATAAATCACAGACTGTGTCACTAGCAAAGCACCCCCACACCATAACCCCTCCTCCTCCATGCTTTACGGTGGGAAATAGACATGCGGAGATCATCCGTTCACCCACACCGCGTCTCACAAAGACATGGCGGTTGGAACCAAAAATCTCCAATTTGGACTCCAGACCAAAGGACACATTTCCACCAGTCTAATTTTTTACATTTACATTTTAGTCATTTAGCAGACGCTCTTATCCAGAGCGACTTACAGTTAGTGAGTGCATACATTATTTTTGTATTTTTCATACTGGCCCCCCGTGGGAATCGACCCCACAACCCTGGCGTTGCAAACGCCATGCTCTACCAACTGAGCTACATCCCTGCCGGCCATTCCCTCCCCTACCCTGGACCACGCTGGGCCGCCGCATGGGTCTCCCGGTCACGGCCGGCTACGACAGAGCCTGGATTCGAACCAGGATCTCTAGTGGCACAGCTAGCACTGCGATGCAGTGCCTTAGACCACTGCGCCACTCGCTAATGTCCATTGCTTGTGTTTCTTCGCCCAAGCAAGTCTCTTCTTCTTATTGGTGTCCTTAAGTAGTGGTTTCTTTGCAGCAATTCAACCATGAAGGCCTGATTCACACAGTCTCCTCTGAACAGTTGATGTTGAGATGTGTCTGTTACTTGAACTCTGTGAAGCATTTATTTGGGCTGGAATTTCTGAGCCTGGTAACTCTAATGAACTTATCCTCTGCAGTGGAGGTAACTCTGGGTCTTCCATTCCTGTGGCGGTCCTCATGAGAGCCAGTTTCATCATAGCGCTTGATGGTTTTTGCGACTGCACTTGAAGAAAGTTCTGGAAATGTTCCGTATTGACTGACCTTCATGTCTTAAAGTAATGATGGACTGTTGTTTCTCTTTGCTTATTTGAGCTGTTCTTGCCATAATATGGACTTGGTCTTTTACCAAATAGGGCTATCGTCTGTATACCCCGCCCCTACCTTGTCACAACACAACTGATTGGCTCAAACGCATTAAGAAGGAAAGAAATTCCACAAACTAACTTTTAAGAAGGCACACCTGTTAATTGAAATGCATTCCAGGTGACTACCTTATGAAGCTGGTTGAGAGAATGCCAAGAGTGTGCAAAGCTGTCATCAAGGCAAAGGGTGGCTATTTGAAGAATCTCAACTATAAAATATATTTTGATTTGTTTAACACTTTTTTGGTTACTACATGATTCCATATGTGTTATTTCATAGTTTTGATGTTTTCACTATTATTCTACAATGTAGAAAATAGTAAAAATAAAGAAAAACCCTTGAATGAGTAGGTGTTCTAAAACTTTTGACCGGTAGTGTGTGTGTACAGTTGTAGTCGGAAGTTTACATACACTTAGGTTGGAGTCATTAAAACTCATTTTTCAACCACTCCACAAATTTCTTGTTAACAAACTATACTTTTGGCAAGTCGGTTAGGACATATACTTTGTGCATGACACAAGTAGTTTTTCCAACAGTTGTTTAGACAGATTATTTCCCTTATAATTCACTGTATCACAATTCTAGTGGGTCAGAAGTTTACATACACTAAGTTGACTGTGCCTTTAAACAGCTTGAAAGATTCCAGAAAATTATGTCATGGCTTTAGAAGCTTCTGATAGGCTAATTGACATAATTTGAGTCAATTGGAGGTGTACCTATGGATGTATTTCAAGGCCTACCTTCAAACTCAGTGCGTCTTTGCTTGACATCATGGGAAAATCAAAAGAAATCAGCCAAGACTTCAGAAACAAAATAGTAGACCTCCACAAGTCTGGTTCATCCTTGGGAGCAATTTCAAACGCCTGAAGGTACCATGTTCATCTGTACAAACAATAGTATGCAAGTATAAACACCATGGGACCACGCAGCCGCCATACCGCTCAGGAAGGAGACGCGTTCTGTCTCCTAGAGATGAACGTACTTTGGTGCGAAAAGTGCAAATCAATCCCAGAACAACAGCAAAGGACCTTGTGAAGATGCTAGAGGAAACCGGTACAAAAGTATCTATATCCACAGTAAAACGAGTCCTATATCGACATAACCTGAAAGGCTGCTCAGCAAGGAAGAAGCCACTGCTCCAAAACCGCCATAAAAAAGCCAGACTACGGTTTGCAACTGGACATGGGGACAAAGATGGTACTTTTTGGAGAAATGTCCTCTGGTCTGATGAAACAAAAATAGAACTGTTTGGCCATGATGACCATCGTTATGTTTGGAAAAAAAAGTGGGCGGCTTGCAAGCTGAAGAACACCATCCCAACCGTGAAGCACGGGGGTGGCAGCATCATGCTGTAGGGGTGCTTTGCTGCAGGAGGGACTGGTGCACTTCACAAAATAGATGGCATCTTGAGGAAGGAAAAATATGTGGATACATTCAAGCAACATCTCAAGACATCAGTCAGGAAGTTAAAGCTTGGTCGCAAATGGGTCTTCCAAATGGACAATGACCCCAAGCATACTTCCAAAGTTGTGGCAAAATGGCTTAAGGACAACAAAGTCAAGGTATTGGAGTGGCCATCACAAAGCCCTGACCTCAATCCTATAGAAAATGTGTGGGCAGAACTGAAAAAGCGTGTGCGAGCAAGGAGGCCTACAAACCTGACTCAGTTACACCAGCTCTGTCAGGAGGAATGGGCCAAAATTCACCCAACTTATTGTGGGAAGCTTGTGGAAGGCTACCCGAAATGTTTGACCCAAGTTAAACAATTTAAAGGCAAAGCTACCATATATATATATATATATATATATATATATATATATATATATATATATATATATATATACTACTGTTCAAAAGTTTGGGGTCACTTAGAAATGTCCTTGTTTTCGAAAGAAAAGCAATAAGGTCAAATTGATCAGAAATACAGTGTAGACATTGTTAATGTTGTAAATGGCTATTGTTGCTGGAAACGGCTGATTTTTAATGGAATATCTACATAGGCGTACAGAGGCCCATTATCAGCAACCATCAGTCTTGTGTACCAATGGCACGTTGTGTTTGCTAATCCAAGTTTATCATTTTGAAAGGCTAAATTATCATTTGAAAACCCTTTTGCAATTATGTTAGCACAGCTGAAAACTGTTGTGCTAATTAAAGAAGCAATAAAACTGGCCTTCTTGAGACTAGTTGAGTATCTGGAGCATCAGCAATTGTGCGTTCGATTACAGGCTCAAAATGGCCAGAAACAAATAACTTTCTTCTGAAACTCATCAGTCTATTCTTGTTCTGAGAAATGAAGGCTATTCCATGCGAGAAATTACCAAGAAACTGTAGATCTCGTACAATGCTGTGTACTACTCCCTTCACAGAACAGCGCAAACTGGCTCTAACCAGAATAGAAAGAGGAGTGGGAGGCCCCGGTGCACAACTGAGCAAGAGGACAAATACATTAGTGTCTAGTTTGAGAAACAGGCGCCTCACAGGTCCTCAACTGGCAGCTTCATTAAATAGTACCCGCAAAACACCAGTCTCAACATCAACAGTGAAGAGGCGACTCCGGGATACTGACCTTCTAGGCAGAGTTGCAAAGAAAAAGCCATATCTCAGACTAGCCAATAAAAATAAAATATTAAGATGGGCAAAAAAACACAGACACTGGAAAGAGGAAGATTGGAAAAACGTGTTATGGACAGACAAATCGAAATTTGAGGTGCTGGAGGAGTGCTTGATGCCATCTGTCAAGCATGGTGGAGTCAATGTGATGGTCTGGGGGTGCTTTGGTGGTGGTAAAGTGGGAGATTTGTACAGGGTAAAAGGGATCTTGAAGAAGGAAGGCTATCACTCCATTTTGCAACGCCATGCCATACCCTGTGGACGGCGCTTGATTGGAGCCATTTTCCTCCTACAACAGGACAATGACCCAAAGCACAGCTCCAAACTATGCAAGAACTATTTAGGGAAGAAGCAGTCAGCTGGTATTCTGTCTATAATGGAGTGGCCGGCACAGTCACCGGATCTCAACCCTATTGAGCTGTTGTGGGAGCAGCTTGACCGTATGAAGAAGTGCCCATCAAGCCAATCCAACTTGTGGGAGGTGCTTCAGGAAGCATGGGGTGAAATCTCTTCAGATTGACAACTAGAATGCCAATTGTCTGCAAGGCTGTAATTGCTGCAAATGGAGGATTCTTTGAAGAAAGCAAAGTTTGAAGGACACAATTATTTTTATTAAAAATCATTATTTCTAACCTTGTCAATGACTACATTTCCTATTCATTTTGCTATATTTCCTATTCAAACTCATTTCATGTATGTTTTCATGGAAAACAAGGACATTTCTAAGGAGAGAGAGAGATTATTTTTTCCATGTTGGAATAATGCAGTGAAAATGACGATAATGCCCTTTTATTGTAAAAGCTGCTTGAAAAAACTGCCAGAAATGTTTGCCTGTTTTGTTGGGATGGAGTTTTTGCCTGCCATGCTGTAAATTAGTTAATAGACCAATAACAAACACTTCCAAACATCTGCCAATGACCGCTACTTTTCCCATCTCCACTCAGACAATTCTGACAGCCCTAGAAAGATTCTTGCTTGAGAAATTGCTATTTGCTAAGAAGCTATATTTGTTTCTTTTTTTCAATTGAAAATCACAGTAAGGTACATAATTGTTACCAGAAATGATTTGATATTGAGATCAAAATGTCTGCATTGGACCTTTTTAATGAATGTTGATTATAAACATAAGTCTTCTTGTGTACCTGCACCCTACTGATACCCCTTTTTACCATGTGGTAATGTTTGATTTGACCATGTGTACAAACACTGCTGGCGCAAAGGGATATGGTGATGGAATTCAACATTCCTGTCATTTGCTACCCCTATCCCCTACTCCAGCCTGTCTGTCACTTCCCTATTAACTCGCCTCCAAGGGTTCCCACACATTGTTTATTCTGGAAAAACTTGGGAGATGTGTTATTTTCAAACACATTTTCTGTCTCAACTGTGATGAGAAATAATGATGATCAAATATAGCCTACCACTCCCTTTACAGGTCCATTTTGAGTGTTTATTAGATCATATAATTATGACCAATTAAAACTATTCTTTCATCCATTAGAAGTCATTAAAAAGTTGTAGACATTAGATATGTAACTTGTGTGGGAACCCGATCCTCCCTTCCCTTCCCCCAATCTCTAACTCTGCTCTGACAGGCCTTCTGATTCTATCATTTTACGTCTAGATGCGTAGGAAGGGCTCTGTGCGAGGCACGAAGGCTTCAGACGAGTAGCTGCTCCAGGTGTAGGTCTGAGGGAGGGTGTGTAAGTGCAACTGGTGGAGGAGTTGAACCGATAGCAGCCATGTTGGTTCCTCCTCCACCAACTCTCATGGATTCCTTGTCTGTCTTCTCCCACTGGGTTCTCTTTGTATTGCTGCATGGCTACACTGCTTTCACTCCATATACAGTGGTGGTGTTAGAGCATAACAAGGTTTTATGGGCCACGGTTTGTGTGTGTGTGTGTATGCGTGTTCTTCTCACGTAAACTTTGATAACTCTTGACTGTATTAATTAATCAATAACACCAGATCTCAGAGAAATATGAAGCATTTGCCAGATCGTTAAGTGTATTGCTGACATGGCGAAAAGCTCTCTGCCTTGGAGTGTGTGTAAGTGCCTACTCAATCTCCCCATGTGAGGGCAGACATCTGTGCAGCCTGTTCTCAGAACCAAGGCGAGAGAGCGGGTTTTAAAAAGGCTATGGCAGCCAGTCAAAGCCATGCTAAAATAAGTCAGCACTGGTTTCTGGCCTTGTATCTATAGTCCAAAAAACGCCATAGAGAATATGGAGAACGAACACTAAAAAACAGTTTATTCTGGCACAGTCATATGTCTGTGTATTACATTCTCAGTAAGGCCTTACCACTGGCTCGCTCTTGGCCCCACTTGAAATATAAATCTGAGCGCTTTTGGCCGTACATGGAGAAAAAATAGAGGAATACGAGGCGGACTGGCCAAAGTGGGCCAGGCTCGAGCATTCCTGGCCTGGCTCCAACGGTGAGCATTTGGAACGCTGTTTCTTCTTCCTCCTCTACATCTCGGCCAATCCTGCATGTGTTTCCCATTTTCCCCTGGAGTAAGTAAACAGGCGGGTGCCATAAGAGGCCCTCTGCATGGAGGAGTGCTTGGCCTGGGCCTCAGAGCTGAGGGGTCGCCAGGGTCACACTGTGCCAGTACTGTAGGCCTCCAGAGGACAGCACCCATATGTAGGAGTGGAATACCATTATAACGACTAGCATAGAGTTTTCTACTCTTTACCAGTTCCACAACAAAACACCCCCAGCTCCTGTTGATGGTTCAGCTCAATTTCTGAGAAAGCTTTTTAGGTTATGTATAGACTTTTGAGCATGTGCTTCAGGTGAATGAGTCTCAAGCAAAGGTTGTGTAGTAATAGTGTATCAGGGTCTTAGACCAAAAGTGTTGTGGTTGGACTACGCTGTGTGAGTGTGAAACACCATGGTTTGGAGATGATGCACTAACAGGCCTGTCTGTCTGCTTGTGTGCTAACACGGGTGGGGTGGTGGCAGGGAGAGGGGAGGTGCCGGGGAAGGAAGGTGGGGGAGAAAAACCCTTCAAGATGGCTTCCTTTGCCTCATTAACATACAAATGGAATTCTGCAGTTGAAAAGGAGCCTGTGCTGTGATTGAAAAAGAAAGAGAGGGGGAGGGAGGGAAGGAGGGAGGGAAGAAAGGATGGAGAAGTGGTAGGTAGAATCCTCATGCACATTTCATCAGATGTCTAGTCCTCTGTTTCGGGCCAGCGTGTGGTTAGACTGTTCCATTAAGGTATTCTGCTATCAGATTCAGCCACTAATTGACTTTCTAAAGCCTTAGGGTGTGGGGACCTGAAACAATGCCTTTATCTACCTACAAGACAAGCAAGGGCTTGAAACAAACCATTTTAGAGACATTCTCCTAGAGAAAAAACATAGTTTTCAGTTTGCAAAGGGAAACGTGTACATTTTTCAGAGATATTCTTAATGCAGACTAAGGAGCTTAATGTTTGTCAGTGAACAGAATGATGGACGTTCTCAGCCACATCCATCCCAGTTTCTCTCACAGTAACAAACAGCCCTTTCTCCTCGCAGAATTCCACTTGTTGATGCATGCTCTCACAGAACCTGCCTCCACTTGTTTGGGCTTTGTAGAGATGTAATAAATGTCTGTTGATTTGTTCCTCTCTCTCTGCCCATTCTCCACTCCCATTTCCTCCACCTCAGCTTCGCAAACACGGTGATGTACGGGGAACCAGTGCTGCCGATGCTGAATGAGACGGAGGAGGGTTTTGAACAGCGATGAAGAGTGAAGGTGGTGATGAAGAATGTGAAGCGGGCTCCCTGTGTTCTACCTTTACCTTACTGATTCAGGATGTGGAGGATGAGGGCTCTGCTCCACTCGATCAATAGACCAGCACCCTGACCTACCGGCACCCAATCATAGACATTCTATCCACAGAATAAATAATTTATAGAAAGTGACACGATCCTAGCTGATAAGGCTCCAGTTAATTTTGATCACCTGGGCTAAAGACGATATCAAGCAACAATGTCCTCAGTAAAGCCAGCTACCACCTCCATGTTGTTGAAAGACTAGTCCCTCTATCTTCTCTTGATAGATGCTTAGAGGGCTGCTTGGTTGTTGATAGAGATGAATATTTTTTAAGCATTTAATTGGCATGATTGCATTATGGCAGGTGCTGGTCTAAGTATTTTGTTATTCCAGTCAAAGAGGATCGTTCCTCTGTGGCCTGTTGCCTTTTTAGTTTACCTTTGTATTCATGAATATTTTCTCCAGATCATTCCTTTCAAGACAATGTCCTCTCTCTCTTCTCTCCTCAGTCCTCTTCTAGCTGTTCATAACACTGTGGTTTTCCATTAGCTGGCGAGAGAGAGCCTGTCAGTGTTTTCTCCATATACATGTCCCTTCCTGCCATGGCCTTCATTAAGAGATTACTGACACCCTTGGCGCCTGTGCCTATCCTAATCTCTCCCTCTGCACTGCATTTTATTAACGCCAACAATCTTGTCCACACAGGTATTTCACTCTCACTCCAATGCAAATTAACACAAACACACACAGTACACACAAGCACAAACACGCACGTGTAAACACAAGCACGCACACACACACACTCACAGGTGTGAATGCCTTTGCGGTGACTGATCTGGCCCAAGCTCACACTGGGCAGATCCGTGCAGGCGCCTTCAAGTGAAGGGAAGTGTCTGTTGGAGTGTTTGGCGCTCTCGCTGTTTTTCCCACACTCCCCATCCTCCACACGCTCACTCACACTGCTCCTCCCTAGCGGATGTCCCTAGAGAGAAACCGCACTGAAAAACAGTCACAGATGGTGCTACACCCCTCCAGTCTCTGTCACGCACTGCTCACCCCACCCTGCTCCCCACCACACCACCACCACAGTAGCCTGCCTGTCTGCCTGCCTTATTTCTGTGGTTCTCTGGTACGGAATTATGCTGCTGGTCGTATCCTGCTGAGCAGGGGCAGCAGGTAGACACACACCCAGCACCACCCCGGCCCACACCAGGCCACCACCCCGGCCCACACCCAATACCACCCCGGCCCACACCAGGCCACCTCCCCGGCCCACACCAGGCCACCACCCCGGCCCATACCAGGCCTCTCCTGACTGGGCCTGTTTACAGAGAGAGCAGCTTCACTCTCTACTCAGCACCACGCTGTGCCTTACTGTACCCATACTTCCACATTACATACTGTACCTCCACTCTGTCAGCTACCCCTCTACCTCCCCTTCCCCAGACTGGGGGTCTGCCTTTGGGAGCTAGCTAGCACCACCATGCCTTTCCTTCTGGCTCCACACTGGCACCAGTTGGTCTTTTAGGCTTTACTACTGGGACATTGATCAGCAGGGTATTCATCCATTGTAGAGAGGGGGTTAGATGAGAGGCTTGATCAGTTTGCAATGACTTTATGAACTCTTTTTTTTTACTGAACCTCACTAAGTTCTCAAGGTCCTTTTACATATGGCACTAATGTACTGTATGTTTGTTCTATGGGCTGTGGTGTGGTGATTATTCCCTGCAGTGAGACTGTACTGATTTAGACGCGACTCCCCAGCAGCAAGCCAGTCAGACAGTGCCATGCTAAAGCCTGAATGCTGCTCTGTGTGTTTAAGCACATAAGTGCCTTCATGTTAGTGTGTGCATGTCAGTGTGCTTGTGGGACAATAAAGAATCATGTGTATCATAACTTGTCATTCAACTTCAGCCATTCTGCCTTTTTTTATAAACAGACACTCTTGCTGCCAAGACAGGTGGAATATTTTTTATGAAGAGCTCAGTCTTGATAGTATATTTTTATATTGTGTAAGCCTCACAGGGGGATTGTGAGAACCTTCTCAGTTATGGGTTTAGTGCTCACCCAAAGACAATGAATGGATCTGGGTGATATCATTTGTTTACATGCGTTGTTCCACCCTAGCTCAACCACACACTGCCCAGGGGCAATACTGACTCACCAGCAGATAGACAACTAAGATGGCTGAACTCTCCTGTACCCCATAACTGAGAGGAGATATCATGAGTACCCGTGTCAGTCACTGACAGGACATGAAAAGTCAAGGACATAATGGGACTGATGAAGTCCAGATTTCCCATCAATTACTATTTGCAGTCAAAGAAACAGTCTGTAAGAGAAGAGTGTTGAATATGATCAATGCCTTAAGGTCTGTCTACAGCCTCTTGCTTGTATTGAATAGAACGCTTATGATAACTTATGATGCAACCGAGCTTGTGTATCAGAGGACAATGGTTTACGATCTGTACTATAGAGACAATGATGTGAGGAAAGGACAGAGTGGAGGTAGTCTTTACAAGAAAAACTGTACAGTATGATCATGATTTATTAAATATACTGTTACATTTCTAGAAGAATAAAAAAAATGCTTTTAAATGTTTCTGATCATCTGTTGAAATTCAGGGGACATGGTAGTGAATGAATGTCATTTTGTTTAGCCTTTTCTGTCTAGACCTTTGTGCCACGGAAAGTCTACACAACGTATCTAAATACCTAATAAATTTCAACACAAAATCGACTGCTTTTGCATGGTTTATTTTACAATGCTCTGTTATAGGCTAGTTTGTTTCTGTTCATCTCTTTCGTTATTCTACATCTTGGGTAACATTCATCTGACTCTAAAGCCTATAAAATGGCATTCATTTTGACATGAGAGAACTGGGTCTTAATCACTAGAAACCAAACGGAAGAAAATTGACTGAAACGGAGAGGAACTTCCTGAACAATAAGAAACAACTTTTTGCTACGGTATGCAGTAGTGAATATGACCTGGGTGTGTTCAGACAACATAGATAATAGATGGATAACTGCCTGACTAACAAGGTGCAAATCAACTGATGCTACCATCTTGTTCTGCCACACTATGGTCGCTGAGGATTTTCAGGTAAGAGATGATCGGTAGGAGATATAGGCATCTCTAGTTGTGTTTATTGTCAATTTTTTACTTATTTATATTTGTTCCTCTTTCATAGTCTCTCTCTCCTTACCCCCATGTGGTAAATGCGAAGGCTCTGATGTTGGACATATGGATGAGATGGTTTAGGTTAGAATGAATATTTTTTAAACCTTTTTCAATATATTCCCAATGGTTGATCAAGTAAATTGACAATCACATTCCTGGTCTAGTTTCAATTGGAGAAAATAAAAATGTGTCAAAGATAGCTGTGGAAATGGTCACTGTTCTGAATCTAAATCACCTAAATTATTATTTTCTCTCCCCTCAAAGAAGTTAGCTCACACACCTCTGGAGTCACGTCTAGTTCACTCATACACCACTTTGGGAGTGTTAGTGTATTAATGACTCCAGAATGACTCCAGACCGCCACATCCATCTCCTGGAGGTCAGTAGTGCTGCAGCCACAACAACAACAGAGTCTGCGCAGGAGAGCAGGAAGTCTGTGGAGAATGGTCACGGAAACAAGTCATATCTGTACCAGAACAGGCAAGTAATATTGTTTCTAAAAGGGGACATGGGCAGAGTCAACCACACTTTAAGGCAGCTCACTTCCAAGTGCACGCACAGGCGAACACAGGAATGGACCAGGGATTGATGCCTGTTAGGGGCTATGACCACCATTTAGAATACCCACTCCAAAATATATGGATCTGGCACCAATTTTATGGGCTGACCCCTCATCTCCAATCTCAGTACTATATCTAAAAAAAACAAGTTATCCTTACACAGGTGGTGTATATACTGTACATATATTATTAATACACTATAAAGCGAGACTAAAAGCTTGCTGCAAGTTGCATCACATGGTTGCTGCGTTATGCCCTCCACTTGTCTGTCCATATAGGGTGAGAGGCTGTGTTTAAGAGGAAGAGGCAGGGTTGGTGAGCCTTTAACTACTGGCTCAGTCCCTGCATCATGCCTTGTTTGTTTGACCCCCCTGGGACTGGATTTGTGCAGGGGCCACAGGTCTTCAAGGGGTGGGGAGTTATTTTTGGCCTGGGTTGGATGGCAATGATGTCAGTGTTTCCTCATCTTTCGAGCTGGGTTGAGCCTAGCCCCTGAGATTCTCGTGAGTCCTTCCTGTTGTGTGGAAGAGGTGGGGACCTTTAAACAGACAGGGACCTCACTGCCCACCGCACCCCTCCTACCCCCGACAGAATGGCGTTCCTCTGGATGACAGATGCTGCTTAACCCTGGTGACCCTGTGTGCTGAGATGGCCGAGCTGACTGACAGAACAGCTGAGGACAGAGAGAGACTGCTGCACAGTTCCCCACTGCACAGGACGCTGACCCTAAAAAGGGAAGGAACTGTCACTTTGGGCGTCCCCCCTTGGTGATATATGTCTAACAGAGGAAGAGCTGTGTTAACACCATGAATTAAGGGGGGGAGGAGGGACATTTACTTTGACTATCTTGTCTTATTGAGCAGAATATTGAGACAAATTGCCTATTAAATCACTATAGAAATGTGTAGAAATGTGACAGTGGTGACCAGCCTCAGGACTGTCCATTGTCATGGGCTGGCTTTAGCAGGAGCTCTGAGCTGGATTCATCATCACAGTGAACTCTGAGGGGAAAGGGGGAGTTTAGTTTGACTAATCATGGTGCTTTTTGTTAATGTTTAGTTTGGTCAGAGTTACAATTATTTTGAGCAGTTATAAGGCATGTTTGAAATACTCAAATGGAAATGTAAATAAATCCAAATTCATGGATTTAAGAATAACTAATTGTGAATCAACCACTCTTATAAGACAAAATGTCCAAGTTGCTCTCCAAGCTCACTTTAATTACTGCAGTCAAATGACCAAATTGCTCTCTAGTGGCCTCATGGGTGGAATATTATTAATATTTTTCATAATTTCATAATTAATCAACATTATTATTTTAACACAGAAAATCCTGTGTTTCTATGTCAAACGGTTTTGTTATATTTCAGTCTTCTGTGATGTTATAAAGTGTAATATTGAGATGCAAACTCAAAATTGAACACATTTCAACTCTATATCTGACATGTTACATGTATGTACTTTTTTTAAGCCCATAACCATGTGTGAGGTGTATACTTTTGTTTCAAAGTAGATTTGTTTAAGTGTACCAAGAAACATTCTGTGTGACCCTGATCTAGCCCACTGCAGTAAAAGGTTACTTACAGTGCATGCAGTGAGCTATGGTAAAACCCAGTAATAAGAGTGTATACTGTTTGCTATGGTAAAACACAGTAATAAGATGATGCTGTAAGAGAGAGCAACATCTCAGGATCCTTCACTGTTCCATCAGCCTTCGGTCTGTAGTGAATTCATCATCAAGCATACTCCAAACTCACTGACAAGCAGTCCTCCAGATCTGCCTCTAGTATACAGTTGCACTTTACCTCTCTTACACACTCGCTCACATCTCTCTCTTTCTAGCTCTCTTGCTCTGTTTATCTCTCTCTGAGCGCTGTGCTCCTCTCCTTCACATAACATCCTGTCAGCTGCATTGGCATGTGCCCCAAGCACCCCAGAGCCTGTATGCCCCCTGCCCCTACCCCTGGCACCCCCTGTCCTGTCCACCACTCTGCCCGTAACCCCTGCCCTGGCACACAGCCTCCTCCCCTGGGCGGAAGGCAGGGTCTGATGGAGGGCCTGCTTCAGCACGCTTTAGACCTATTTTCTTTCCCTGCAGAATATTCGTGTGAGAAAATGTGTCCACTCCTACTATTCTTCTCTCTGGCCTCACTCTCTCTCTGTTCCTGTACTTTCACCTGTCTGCAAGAGTTACAATCCTCACGGCCATGTTAAAACGATACCCCACCTTTTTACCCCTAACCTGGCCTAACCTTTTGTCCCCTCTGTAGGTGTCCACCTTTTGAAACTACTCGTCTGACATCTCAGCCCTGTGCAACAATACCTAGAGGGCTCAGGGGGAGAGAAAATGCTGTCTAGATGATAGTGCATGTACTGAGTGAACATCCTTCCTTTCAGTGAGTTAATATACATTTTGTATATAATTTTCATTTCAGACACTTGCATTACTGGCCAGTTTCATAGCACAAATTTGCTTTGAGTTGAGTTTTGGATTAGGGGTTAGGTTTGTGGGAAAGACTCTTGGTGATGCAACCCCTCTTGTGGATAAAATGAATTGGGGGCTTTTCCCAGAAAAAAAGTATGCTTTTGTGAAAACACTTCCAAATGAGTTAATTATATAATATCTGAATCATTTTAGCAAGGTAAAATTACAAGTCTTTGCTTGAAATTCATCTGGGGGTTCACCCCTGACAAAAGCCATCTTTGTTTGGGAGGAGTGCCATGTTCAAAAGAAGCAGGAAACATGACACCACAAACTCCCAGCTTGCTTCTCTCTATCTATTTCTTTATTTCTCTCTCTCTCTCTCTCTCTCTCTCTCTCTAAAAGGAGGCCTTGACTGTGTACTGTACATCGCTTTATGACTTTACTCAAAACAGAGCAACCTTTAAAATGTAGATACCACGATATCAAATGTATTTAAAATATTATTTGACATAGCACTAGCAACATAATCTTAGGCTATACCTGTCTATTATTCCGGCCTTCACCTGATACACTCTTGATGCGGTCTTCATACCTTGTTCTGATGTCTAGCACTAGGTGGCACTGTGCCTGTTTGATAGAAGTGAAATACTCGCTCTTATTCACCTCTCGAGGAACTGGTCCTATACAGACAAAAATCTAAATTATGTTAGTCCTACATATGTGGTAGGCAATGTTTTCCACTGCCTATATATCAAACACATGAATAGGCTATGATATATGCGTAGCAAAACGCGATAGCCTATTGGTAGGCCAGCAGTAGCCTAGAAAAGATCATCTCAGATTTAAAAAAAATATGCAACACCATATATTTATCTCAGATGCGTTGTAGCTCCATATTAACTCAACATTACAGGAATTGGGGGTGGGGATCACGTGGAGTAGTACAAAGACGCTCAGGATATGGTAGACCTAGGCTACTAAAGACTGTCCTACAACGGAGCTGACTGTCTTTCAAGTTGTTGCATATTTCACAACAAGCTACCTTAGTCATATTTGGTTTCATGTAGCCTATTCCGTGTCTTTTTTTGTAGAGAGTGAAAACATCGTAAAATGGAAAGTAAGAATTGGCTGTCAGCTAAATTAAGATTTCATCACCTACAAGAATTCTTACATTGCAAAAGTAAAACAACAACATTGCCGAAGTCTTTCAATCCCACAGTGTGACAGTTTAGATCCAACGCTTCAGAGAGCGCCAGATCAGAACCCACGCGCGCCACAGGAAACAAAGCAGAATCTGGAGTTGTTTCATTTTTTTTTTTCATTAACTATTTACATTAATCGTCATAATTTGTCGGACGAGGCCTTTTATCATCGACAAAGTGCATTCTGTACAATTGCAGAAGTGCCTGTCTAAATTGATATTTAGAAAAGCCATTCATTTGGGCAATTAGCTGGATTTTTTAAAAACGCAAAGGTAATTCATCTTGAAGACTTCTTTCAAACACATTATTAATATAACTATATATAGGGTAGGCTACAAAAGTTGATAAGGACATTACATTTGAATTGCTGCAATATATTTAGCAACCAGTAAAATAACATTACATGTTCACTGTGGTCCATGATCTATTTCCCTGCATGACTTATTTGAACTGTGCACATTTCACAAGAGGCTACTTAGCTTTTTGTAAAATATAGGGGTAGCCTAGTTGATAGCCTACCATTTCAACCCTGCATATCCGTAAAGCCCAAAGTGAAAACACTTATATGTGAGATATTATAGAGTGCAAAATATTGTTATCGATTATGGTATCCTCCAAACACAATCCAGTAGATTCGATGCCATTGATCTTTTAAGGGGGATTTTTTTCGTGGGGTAAGCAACAAATGCTCTCTCTCTCTCTCTTTCTCTCTCTCTCTCACGCACACACGCACGCACACACACACACTCTAACTATTGACTAGCCTATCGCCTAAAATACATGGTATTTCAATCGTCCACAGGGCCATATTAATTTAAACAGTTCTACAGCCCTGCTGTAATGATGGGATGTGAAACCTCAATATATCACTATTATCACTGGCGCTTGTATTTTGATCGGATACATCTTATCTCTCAGCAGCAGGCTTTAAATCAAAGAACACCCCCTCTTGTTCAACAATACGCCAGTCCGTTTAAAAGACCTCAGAGGGCAATGTTGCAGGATTAGCCTAGAGGGCAATGTTGCAGGATTAGCCTATAGATAGGCCTATCACGCTTCTGAAAACAGCATGATGCATTTACATTTGATTGTTATTTTCAGAGTTTTTAATAATAATATAATTATTACAGGAGTCTAAGTTTTAGAAAGGTTGACTTGGTCGTTTAATTTGCCAGCTGTCCCCTTCATTCCAATGAACAGAAGATAATTGGCGATTTGAATGATTAATTTATAAGGTAAACAGAGTTATGGTAATAGTCCAGTTAATCTGAATGGAAATGTTAATCTGCTGTGCGTTAACAATACAAACTCCGGGCCAGTGATTGTGCCCCAGCATTTGTTTAAGAAAAACTATTGTGAGACGATTTCCCTTTGACTGAGTTTAAATTAATTTCCTACATCTCCATTTCTATCAACAATTAAGGAAATAACATAGGCTTAATTTGTACTAACATATGGGCGTTTATTCATTCAGAAATGTATGTGCTCTAAAAACACACAATTAGATTGATCTCAAATAAAAAACTAAAAGTTTAAATTGCATAGGCTATATAGATCATAAATGTAAAATACAATGGAGCAAGTAACACACCTGACATGGGCTCGAAAACACTTTATTTGAGAACGGCGCTCTCGTAAGATACACGACGTTACTCTCTCGTACTGTGTTTCTCATCCACATCTTGGACCACCTTAAAAGATGGTCCCTCCCTCGGCACTGGCGCTCCGCAGCCTCCGATTGGCGAGGACCTCATGGATGGAATTGGTTGCAGAAATGCAAAAGTTGTTGCTGGTTCCCTGAATGCGTTGATCTCACACAGCGCCAAGCGCAAGACAAGAGCGTGATCTATCTGTGAATCGCTCCAAGCTGGAATAGACCACACCAGACTCGGGAGCAGAAGGAGTGCGTTATAGCCTACAGAGTGAGAGAGTGAGGGAAAGAGCCGATAGAGGTTCCGCGCCTTCTGCGCGCTTGGAGGGCACATGACCAGGACCGGTTGGACTATGCTGTCAAGCCGCTCTGTGATGGTGGAGTGCGGGTAGTGCGTGCCGGAGGCTCCGGGAAACAGTGGCGCAAAAGCGGCTCTCCAGATAGCCTTCATGACTGGGCTGGATTTTCCCTCCGGACTTGTAGAATTGCTTATAGTGCAGTAATAAGACATTTCACCCAGAACTGTGGGAAGTCTTTTCTTTTGATTGCAAAACAACGACCAATTAGAATTAATTGTGCAGGTTGCCGGTGGATTTCTACAGAATGGGATCTTGAAAGGACACTAAACTGTGCGTCCTGGGACATTTGACAACGAACTGGAATAATGAAGTGGACGAAGAAATAGTTCTGTGTTTATTTCAATTTTGATAAGCCTTGTGATCGTTGTCATCATAAATCAGAGAAGGGGTTTTATCAAGTTTGTAAAGAAGACATTTTCATAGAAAACTTTTGAAGTGAAAAACATTTTGTATTGTTTGTAAATTAAAGGAATAAACCAAACGCCTGTAGAAATACACGGGAACGAGCAAGGACAGACTGTAATTGCTTGCTTCGTTGTCCTCTCCCGTTTCTTTTCGCCACACTTTAGGGACAAGTTGGATATTGGAAAAACGATGAGAACTTATTGGGTGAGTGAATCGATTTAAGATCTACGTTTTAAATCAGAACTTTTTAAGATATCAAAATATCTGGCCTATTGAAGCATTCTCTTCTCTATTCGTTTTTGTCCTCTTTTTTGTGTGTGGAGATTGACGGAAAAAACAGACTAAAGCTAGACTGCCTATGCCAGGCGAGCTGGCTGTCATGCGGGATTGATATCGTGGAAGTATGTTTGGGCTGGAGCAGTTTGGTTCTCAGATTAATAGCATAAACCCTGCCCAGTCAGAGAGAAACATAAACCAGCCAAGACTGAACATGAGCTCCCATTACAAAAGCCCCGGCTTTCATACCGGAGGCCCACCTGGAGCCGTGGAGCCGGGCATGGGCCCTTTGAACGAGCCTCCGATGCTTGGGCTCAATATGAACATGAATGGGGAGCAGTATGGCAGCTTTCACCCGCGGGGCCACTCGGACATGCATGCAGGCAGCGGACTCCAACAGCAACAGCAAGGACCCATGCATGGATTTTTTAACAACCAGCAACCTCATCAAGGCCATCCCCACGGCCACCAGTCTCACCCTCACCAACACCACCCTCATTTCAATGGGAACTTTGGAGGCCCAGACCCAGCATCATCCTGTCTGCATGGTGGCAGATTGATGGGCTACAACAACAGTGGCATGGGGCCTCAGCAGGGCTTTGGAGAGGGGTTTGACCCCATTGTTGAGGGCCAGGCAGGGGATGGCTTCTCGCAGCAGCAGCAGAGATCTGGTAACATGTCTGAGTTCCAGCACAACGGCCCCCCTAATGGCAACCAGGCTGTCCCTGCCCCCTGTCTGCCCCTGGACCAGTCACCTAACCGGGCAGCATCCTTCCATGGTCTGCCCTCCTCTTCCTCCTCAGAGACCCATGGTCTGGAGCCTCGACGGATGCCCAATCAGGGTGCTGTGGAGGGATTAGAGTATAATTTCCCCAGCGAGCCCCCAACTGGACATTTTGAAGTACCTGTATTTTCCCCCTCAGAATCAGAGTCTCAACTGCCCCACTTTGGGACAGGAAGGCCTGTGGCCGGTGGCAGTTTCCCTGGAAACCCTGCCATGGCTCGGACACCGGGTATGCAGGGCATCTCCAAAGGGCACCAGCAGCCACCCCCACAGCCCCAGCAGCCTCAGCCTCCCCCACAGCACGGAGTGTTTTTTGAGCGCTTTGGGAATGGCCGTAAGATTCCTGTGGGGATGGAGCTGGGGGTCAGTGCTAGACACCCTCTCATACAGCAGCAGCAGCAGGCTGGTTTGATAGTGCGACAGAACTCATGCCCCCCTGGCCTCCCCCGGCCCCCCCAGTCTGAGCCGGGCTCCACCAACCCCAACATGCTGGACGGTGGCGTCATGATGCCTGGCCAACACAACCAGTTTGAATATCCTATTCACAGACTGGAAAATAGGGGCCTGCACCCCTATGGGGACCCCATGTTTAATATGCAACAGCCGGCTCCCCCTCCTCCCGCCCAACAGCCTCCGAATCAGAGGCTGCAACACTTTGACAGTCCTTATATGAACATGGCTAAAAGGCCCAGATTTGAGTTCCCTAACGCACATGGAGGGGAGAATTGTGGCACGTGGGGTAGTGGCATGCACAATGCACAGGGAATGGAGAACCACCTCTCTCCCTCAGCCTACCCTGGCCTACCTGGGGAGTTCACCCCACCTGTGACAGATGGATTCCCCCCGGGTCCACTCCAGCACGCTGGGCCTGAGCAGCAGTCTATGCAGCAGCGGCAAAACGCGGCCATGATGATCAAGCAGATGGCCTCTCGGAACCAGCAGCAGAGGATGAGGCAGCCAAGCCTGCAGCAGCTGGGTCACCATGGCGACGTACCTCCGGGCCCCATGGTTCATGGAGGCCCAGTGGGGAGCATGCCTCAGCCCAACTTTGACAGGGAGAATGAGGGCAGGATGCCCAACTTTGAGGGTCAGAACCCTCATATAACTCAGGAGAACTGGTTCCCCGGTTCCCACCCACCAGGAGAGATCATGTCGCGGCGTATGGGTGTAACGGGTGGGGAGGCTGTGGCCCATGACATGGGGCTGCAGCAGAACGGAGTCGGTATGATGTTCAGGCCGGGCATGAATGGGATGGGCATGCAGGAGCCAATGAGGATACCTGGAGATGGGCACGTACAGGCCCTCCACTCTCCTGGCATGCACCCCCAGTTTGGCAACAACATGGGCAATCTCTCCCAGATGCAGTCCCCCGGAGCCGGGGTAGGACACCCCAATGCACCATCAGAGAGGCGGCCGACTGACTTCCCTGCCGGGCCTCCCATGGGAGCTCAACCAACATTTCCTTATGGAGGGGCTAACCGTCAGGGGGCACCACATAACAATCCCCAGGGGGTGAACACCTCACCAGGGAGCTACCCTCCACAGTCTGAGTTCCCCCCAGGCCAGCGATCCTCTGTCAGTAAACTTGGGGCACTCTCCCTGGGGAACTTTAGCAAAACCAGCACTAAAGACAATGTTTTTGGACAGAGCTGCCTGGCGGCCCTTTCCACGGCCTGCCAGAACATGATAGCTAGCCTAGGGGCCCCCAACCTAAACGTAACATTCAACAAGAAGAACCAAAATGAGGGCAAGCGAAAACTGAGTCAGACGGAGCAGGACATTAATAGCAGCACAGTTAACGGGACTGGCAGTGCTGGTCCTGAATATTTTCAGAGCGGCACTTCCCAGAACAGCCAGATGCCTGGCACCGGGAATAGCAACATTAAGCCTGCAGGTCAAAACCAGACGTTGCAGGGGGAAGCCAGTGCCCTCTCCCCAAATTACAACATGGACGCTACCCCATGCAGTGAGGGGAAAGCAGCAACAGGGAATGGGAGAGGGAGAGGGAGGAGAAAAAGGGACAGTGGGCATGTGAGCCCTGGGATCTTTTTGTCCTCTGACAGCGGACACCCTGTTGTAAGTCCAGGCCAGCAACCCCCTTCAGCTGGCGTTGGGGAGAGGGGTGGGGGTACGCCCCATGAGAAACCCCTTCCATCCCCCTCCTGGGGAAAGGGAGGTGACCTGATGCTGGGGGACCAGGCAGACCTGATGTCTTCTCTGGACAGTGGCATTCAGAGTATCACCAAGTCTAACAGTAGCTCACCGCGTGTGGATCTTCCTGACGATGTCATCGCCCACTACGGCAACGAGGATGAGGTGTCCTCTAGCTCAGATGCAGGAGGTGCCCCTGCCTCCAAGCCCAACCGCAGCCCGCACATCACCGGCTCACCCAAGCTGCAGAGGGGGGAACACGGCCTGATGAATGGGCAGAAGCCCCTAGGCATGCAGGACATCACCAATCACACTACTTCGACACTCGAAAGCTATGGACTGAGTGCTGGTGTGGGGACAGGTGGTAACGGAGTTGGTCACCCTGGCACACCTGGGATGGAGCAGGTACGCACTCCATCCAGCACCTCTGGCCAGGACGACATCCACCCTCTGGAGATACTGCAGGCCCAGATCCAACTGCAGCGCCAGCAGTTCAGCATCTCAGAGAACCAGCCCCTGGCCATGAAGAATGGGAAGAAGAGTGGCGACTGTCTCTCACAGAATGGAGACAATGAGCTGGCGAGCTGCAGCCCGGATGCTGGGAAGGGCTCAATGGGCACTATTGACCTTGACACTCTGATGGCAGAGCAGCATGCCACCTGGTACGTGCCCAGTGACAAGGCCCTGATGGATGGGCCAGAGGATGACAAGGCCATGGCACCCTGGGAAAAAAACAAGAGCCAGAATAACAGCAAAGAAGGTAATTGAATATGCTCTATGATTATATTTCTCACTTTGTTTTACTATCTGATTAGTACTGTCTTATTACTGTATTTATATATACACACACACACACACACATACACACCCTTCTAGGCCTGTCACTCAACATATCAGCACATAAGCCCACTGTTGTTTTGCATGCCCGATGAGCAGAAAATGAAATGAATGCTAGACTAAAATAAGTCAGGACTTCCTTTGTGCGTGTAGCCTATGTCTGCAGTTATTTGGAAATCTCTGTCTGAGGATATGATTATCTCAGTAGGCTACAGTATGGTGGTATGGACGATATCATTATATACATTAATATACATTAATCTTTTTGATAAGATTATTATTTTAACTTGCATGAGTTGAATTGGAGATACGCAGGCTCGCTCCCTAGCAACGTCTTTGAGTAAGCAAAGCACTGTAGACCGCGGGAAGGGTTGTTTGTTAACTTCGGGGTTTTGTGAATTTTGAGAGGCTAAAATGTAAATGTTCTATGTTTCACATAGCTGTTCTGTGGAAAAAGATAGATCAGGTATTTGCTTGATTCGAGTTTTATATGTAGGCTAGAAAAATACATAAATAATGTAATATGTTTTTATGTGTGCTTATAGGCCTACACATGGGATAGGCTATTGGACCACAGTCTATTTAACTATTCGAATTTAAATAGCACTAATCAGGAAAACATTTGAAAACGGATTTATTGTAATCCTTAAATTATCATTTGGTGCGTGTTATTGTTTATTCTATTGTTGAGGGACTTCAAAAGAACAGCCCGAGAAAAGTAAACATTTCCTGTGGTTCTTTATCTGGGTTTTTAGGGTGAACAACTACACTGAGATGATTAATAGGTTTCTGAGGAGATGCGTTTTCACAGCGGGATTTCCCCTCCATACAAATCTGTTTGTTTTTGTTATTACTATGGGATAATAAACGGAATTGGAGAATGTGGATTGATTTTAGATTAGCCTACTATTGGAAAGGGCAGCATTGTCAGGATAGATGAAGAAGAGTGATATTACTAAACAAGAGTAGCCTATCTTAAGCTTTTTATTTCTCAACTTTTTTTCTGTAAATATGATGTGTCCTCGAAGAACAGATTTGCATTGAACATGGTAACATGATACTAATAGAAAATAATAATAATAATAATAATAATAATAATAATAATAATAATAATGGATTTGTAATAAACTTTTTCTAATTTGTTTAAAACTTTTGGTTTTATTGTATTGCCAACCAGTTTTTTCGCCTAAATGATTCAGGAAAAACTAGGTTGGTCATGAGATACAAATGCTTATTTTTCACGAACAAATGTAAATTCTAGGAGCCTATACCACGAAACTGTTGTAGCCTATAATTTGAAGTGCTTGTTGAAATTGGTATAGTGTGATTAGAGACGCTGGCTGGCACTTTACACGTTTTAGGTACACGGTTTGAAAACCTGTCAATCAACGTTTGACATTAAACAACACAAATAATGTTCTCCTGTCTTTGGATTACCGGTCATACCTAAGGCGTCTGGTTTGTTTTAGTTCATAAACAGGAAATTAAATAACATGTATTTATTATAATAATAATAATAATAATAATAATAATAATAATAATAATAATAATTATTATTATTATTATTATTATTATTATGTCCTATTATTATTTCCTACTATAACACATGTTTTTAATTCAGTTTAATCCAGTGCTGAAGTTACTTTTTATTGACTGCTCCTCCATCAATCAAAGCCTACTTCAAATTAATATTTAAAAATTGAATTCAATATCGCTGGTTTTGTCGTATTTTATTTTTCTGTGCAATTGTAATGTCTTTTGTTTCTTGATATTTTTTTCTGAGGCCACTCTTTTTTTCTATAGGCATTTGAAAATCTATAAATAGATTGAAATGGTAGTCGGTCAGTGCTGCAAAAGGCGGTAGGTCGCAGTGAGACGTTATTAAATCGCCACGCCAGAGACGAGCCAACAAAACTCATTTTATCATGTGAATAGGTAGCCCCCAGCGCGTATTCACTATCCCTTTGTTCTGGCTAACTGCGGGAGCAGAGAGGAGAGGGGGGCGCAGGGCACGGAATATGGAGTCAAAGCGCATTGTTTAGGAGGCAGAGCAGTCAACCAGACCAGGCAGCCACATTCTCGCTCTGTCCATAGTTCATTTTTTCAAGATCCATGTGTAGCAAGGCGCACTTATTCTTCAGAAAATGCACAGCAACAGCAACAGGGGCCACTTCGATTTTGTTAAAGTATTTCTCTCCAGTCTCTCCTATCCCCGCACATTTTTTCCTTCCTCAATTCCGCTCCTTGCAAGCACAAAACGTATGCAATTCGGCGCGATCGATAGCTAGTTAGCACAAATCACGGATCTTGACAGTTTCCATTTGAGTGCTGCAGACGGCAAAGATGAAAAAGGGTTGAGGTGTGTTGCTGGATTTTCAGATTGAATTGGATGGGTTTCAGAGACGCGCAAAATCCTATGCAGTCAATGAAACGCTAAATTGCAGATAAACATAAATAGGGCCTTATGGTTTTAGTTGCATATATTCAGTAGGCTAGTAAATATTACCCCTATAGGCACAGTCGATTAACAGTTATATTCTCTTGGAAAATGCTGAAGGCCGGAATTCTGAAAGTTATTTTGGAAGATTTCATAGAACACGTGTCAAACTCATTCCATGGAGGGCCGAGTGTCTGCGGGTTTTCGCTCTACCCGTACTTGATTGACAAATTAAGGTCACTAATTAGTAAGGAACTCCCCGCACCTGGTTGTCTAGGTCTTAATTGAAAGGAAAAAAAAAAAACACCGCAGACACTCGACCCTTCATGGAATGAGTTTGACACCCCTGTCATAGAACTTTGAACTTGAGCTGTGTAGAAGTGAAATAAAATATTGATGAATGTAGTAATATCTGTGGAAACTATTTATGTTTGTTTCTGATGTCTTGTTGCAAGTCCACCAGCTGGTTAACAGGTGAACACTAATAGTCATTGCCTGAGCCTGGAGTTACAGTGACAGTTTATCAAATCATTTATTTTTATTTTTGAATTGTCTTGTTTGTTATCAAGGTTCTCAGTACAATTCACAAGATAACTTATAGTTAGCCTATATAATAGTAATAATAATAATGTTGTAATGCTAATGATAGCTGGTCTACAATTTAGAAATAACACATTTTTTATCACACAATTTCATCATGTTCCTTTTTATTCCTGTATGATGTGGCTTATCAATAAAAATGTTTTAAGATCACACATTTCGATTGAGTACACAGCACATTTAGCTAAACGCACACATGGTCTGATCATATGGCTATTTTGTATTGAAGTTACATTTCTTTCTGCATTTTGCTAATTTCTCCATGTCACCCTCGGAGTTGATCATATGACACCTTTGTAGGTGTTGTGCACCAGTGGTATTGTGCACCACTAACACCAATTTAGTTTAATATTGTGGCAACCCGCTCTCCTGGTATCTGTCTTCATGCCCCTGTCCTAACCCCCATCACAGTGTCCTGAAGCTGGGGAGGAGGTGGGGGTCTGCGTAGGTCCTGACATCCTGGGAACAGCTTTAATAGTGGGAGTCCTGAGTGATTGTGTTACTTGGGCGCTTTATAGACTGCATTCAGTGTTTTTACTTGAAGTTGAGTTTAACTGCCCAATTGAGACAGGTGGGTTATGGGCCTCTGTTTATTTGGGGAGGGGGATGGTTGCAGTGACATTTGGCAATAGGCCTCCCTGTGTCTATAGCAGGGATACGGGTGGTAGTGGCATGGGGAGGAAAGGAGCTGTGGTGTTTGGGGCTCTGTGACTATAGGTGAGGTCTCAGCCAGTGCAAGAGTTGGGATCACAGAACAGACTGTATTCTCAGATACATTGTTAATGGAGCCAGTGGGTGATGTTTTCAGGCCAGAACTTGGTGTCAGAAGTGCCTCATAGGAATATGGAATTTGATAATGTTGTTGCATTATACAGGTAATTCTATAGCTTCTATGGTTTAACTACCATTACAATAATGTTAAAGAAAAATATGAGATTGAGGATAGATAATGAGAAAGTCCAGCTTGCCTGTTTGGGAGTGTGTTGTGTTGTATTTTCTGTGTTGATGTCTGTTCACCCTGTGTGTCTCAGCTCTCCCTGTATGAGTTCCCAATGTGGTTGTTTAGAGACTGATATGTTTGTCAGTAACTGCCCCCATTGGACCCATCCATAGCGTATCCTGTCTGTGTGATAAGCTACCATTCCGCCAAAGCTATTCACTAAGACATAGTAATGTCTACTGTAGGCATGAGGCCCATATATGGCCTCCATATGCCTGTGGTTGTATATGTGAAGCGAAGGAACTTGGCTGCGTTTTCACCAAAATTATGAGAATACATTTCCCCCTCCTTTTTTTCATCTCCTTTTTTCCATCTCGTCTTCTTATACTCTCTTCCTCTCTACCTCTCTTCCTCTCTTCCTCTCTGCTCCTTATATTATAGCCAGGACCTGACGGTTTGTTCTGAAAGACCTGCACACTCTTGATAACAAGCAACTTGTCGCCCTAGGAAATGATTCAGTTGGTTTTATTTTCTAGAGTTTTTGCTTCAGTTTTGACCACACAGTGAAAGTTGTGTTATTTACGGTGTGTGTTATCACTTTGTACATACTGTGCTAGGATATGTCCTCTGGATTAATACGCTGTCTCATGCAACAGAGTGACTGTTCTAGTGGTGGTGGAATGACTATAAGTTAGTGCATGCGCTGGCTTGCTGTTGGCAGGTATAGGAGAGCAGTGGGTAGAGTGGGGACTTTTCCTGCTTAGACACCTTGATTAGGAGGCAATTTAATCCAGTGCAACAGGCGTATTGACATGCCACCTAAAGAGACCTAGGAAGAAAGGAGAATATTCCTATAAGACCACCCCACCTTCCCACCTCTGTTAGTTTATTGAAATCATACTTATCGTATTGACATTTCACTCCGGCGACAACTCGTAAATCACATGAGTAATTTTTATTTCCCTTTTTTCCTTTCTTAAAGCAGAAAATAGATGTGATTGACATTTGGTTGAAGGAAGAGAAAACAGCTTGGGGCGGTCCATGTTCCAGATCCCTCCTTGCAAGTCGTTGCGTATTGACTTCCTTAACAACACACAGCGTAGCGCTGTCTGCACTCTCCCATACTGCAGTAATAACAATCATTATCATTATCATAATCATAGCAATTAGCCCTGGTAATATTGTTATCAAAAGTGCCAATTCATCCTCTGGCACCTTCTGTGAGTTTACTTGGTTATTGACAGATACAGAGAGGCTAGTGAGGATACAGAAGGCAAGTGAGGTGTGTGTGTGTCTGTCTTTTGTGGTCCTCTGTAGCTCAATTGGTAGAGCATGGCGCTTGTAACACCAGGGTAGTGGGTTCGATCCCCGGGAACACCCATACGTAAAAATTTATGCACACATGACTGTAAGTCGCTTTGGATAAAAGCGTCTGCTAAATGGCATATTAAATTATTAAATTAAAATTAAATATTAATATTAAACATATTGTAGCTATAGCCGTAAACGGCGCAAAAGTGCAGACTTTGAGACATGTTACATTGGACCTTTTCACCTTTTTTGGTATAATATGCGTTTATTTTCTTCTGTCTCTTCACAAAGTAATTTCTGTCTTCCTTTGTGAATTGATCCCTAGGGTTGAAAGAATATCACACAATTCCTACACTATCAGCAAGAATCAGTGGGCATTAGGACTGCTTTCACCATGTAAGTGTGTGTGTGTTCTCCCTTACCCCCCATTGACAGTTTCTGGGGCTAAGACAAATATGAGATGCATGCAAATGAGCCTAGCTGCTGGAGGGACCAGAGGTGTATGTGTGTGTGATGAAGACATGGAAACTCGATAGTGTGGGTTTGTCAGCTGTAGACATAATGTTTGATTTATGCAGACTTGGTCACAGGCTTTTGGTTTCAGACCTTTGCTCAGGTGTATGCTGGAATAAACTCTCTCACTTGTAGTGAAATGGAAATAGTTCCTTGTACTCACACTTCTCTAAGTTCCAGCTCTGAGAATTTATCACAGTATGATAAAAGTATCTGACTAGTTATGTCAGGGTTCATCACAACTTATTTTAGCTTTATGTCAGTTTGGCCTGCTTTACGTCAGTTTGGCCTGCTTCAAGTACAACCCCCACTAGTATGTAGTAAATGCACAGTAGACCCCAATACATTTGTAATTATCAGTACTACTGATGACAAGCAGTTTTCCATGAGCTGCTAGCATGTATAATACCGGCCCAGCTGAGTGCAGTAGCAGCATAGTTAAGCTGTGGAGAAGTGTGTAGTCTTCTGTTTTATAGATATTGCAGCTCAGAACAGGACATTTAATGGTTTCTGCTTGTAGTTTTGAGTGTGTAAAATCTAGTTTGAATATTTTGTTTCTTCTAGATGTTACTGTGTATGTGTGTATCCACTGAATGCTGAGGCCTTTGCTTTGCAAGACATTTACCACCAGTGACAGTCAAAGGAGGCGTGTTAAAACATTTCTTTGTGACTGATGTAGAGAGAAAAGGTTGAACAAAGGTGCCAGTCCTTTTGCTAGCTGGACTGACTCTTCAAAATAGCAGCTCATCCGGTGTTTTGTTTTCCCTGGGGAAGAGCGCTGAAATAAAATCAAACTTGTCTGTGTGTGTGTGTGAATATTCCCCTTGGAATGGAAGGCTGAGTTTGTCTGGGAGATGCATGGTATGGGGGGTGGGGGGGTGGGCACCAGAGGCTCCGGTTGGCTGGATGTATGTGACACGTTTCCTAATGTCCAGGGTCTTAATAAGCCAGTGCCCAGAGAGACTGGAAAAGACTAAAACAAGGCATCTACTATTACTGTAGAAAATTATATATTTTTGTAGCTACCAACAATCCCTGTAGAGATGATTTTATCATAGTTTGTGAGAAATGCAAGTTGTCTTTATCAATGAAATAGACTATAATCCTTAACACTCCCTCTGTTCAGCAGAGGTGTACCATGCTAACGCTACTATGCGGTGTGTGTGTGTGGAGGTGTTGTCATGCCGCCAGCAGCAGTTATGTTATTTGGCATACAGGTAGTCGTCAGATGTCTTTAATTCGTATTGAAAAATTGACAAATGAGTTCTGACACCAGAGCTGTTTCTCTTGGGAGAGAGGAGGAGAGACTGATCGAGTGCTAGCGAAAGCGAGAGAGATGGAAAGAAGTTTCCCTTTTTTCTGGGAACATCTTAGGTTTCGACTTGCGAGGTCGAGCAGGATGGTAATGGCTGTCATTTGCCTCACTGTAAAGAGAGAAAGAGAGAAAATAAATCTTAAATTTTCTCCCCAGTTCCATCCTCTGGACTTTCCTCATTTATGTATTTTTTTCAGGTCAGTTTAGATACTTGGATGTTAGAAACAATAGTTCTGATTTTTTAAACAGCACATTTGAGTCTTTTCAACAGTGGAACTGTCATCACTAAATCTTAATACTGTCATTATACTACACAGCACTATGACTTTTAACTCAATAATTATAGAGATTTTGTTTACAGTTTTATCATTGTGTTCTTTTAAACATTGTGTTGTTATCTTGGAAATGGAAAAGGATTGGTTATATTTAATATAAAAAATTATAATTGTGCAACCAGTGCTCATTATTTTGAAGACATTATTATGTAAATTTTCAAGTAAATCTTTATTTTCTTCAATCAAGGGTCAATTAATTAATTAATTAAAGGATTATTATTATTTCAGGCAATTATATTCAGTCATTTGGATTTCAAGTGGTAAACAATTTCTATCACATAAAGACATGAAGAGAAAGTGTAACATTCCTTGAATTGACCACCTAACGTCCCATATTGAGGACTAGCTGAAATATGGATTGTATGTTAAATGTTGTGGCTGAGCAAGTCAGCCCCCTAAACCCCTTCCGATCCCCCTCCTCTCCCAGCCCCTCCCTAGCAGATGCTCCTAATCCCTACATTTCCACTGTTTTCATGAGTGGTAGGGGTTTCCAAATGGGACAAAAATACATAAACAGAGTGTGTAGTGACGGGCTGAAACAAAATAGAGAGCGAGACGTAGATCAATATGTCACCTACTTGGATGACATGGATGACAGGTCCTGGACATGGTTTTGATTTATGCAGGAGGTACTAAATCACTTCCTGTGTTCCCTTTTGTGTCTAGTTTCCTAAGCGCGTCTTGCGGCCTGAGGGGAAGGTGTGTGTGTACGAGGGGATGGCTGAGGGGAGAGAGTGTACTAGAGAAGGGGTGAGGAGGAGCGACCGGGCCAAGGCCTGCCTGGGCAAGTTTTTTTCCTTCTTGTTGCAGGCCAGGGAACAGAGAGGAAATTCAAACCAAAATAACCCCTGTGCCCTTGCTTGAGAAATGTGCCCTGCTCCATATCCACCCTTCTCTGAGGGGAAAAGTCAACCTGTGGCTGTGGGGTGGAGTGGGGGTCGGAGAAGGCCTCCCATGCCATACTCCCTCACCCCAACTACCAACCCCCCAGGCCACCATCAGATACCTGGGTCATACCTCCAGTAGTTCAAGTATTCCTCACACACAAATTCCTGTTGCCACTCACCAACCTAGTTGAAAGCAGATAACTTAATGATTTTGTATATTGTTTTGTGATTGTGATTTAATGTGAAGCCTTATTGCTCTGCTGGTCGGTCTGCTAAGTGCAGTAGCTAGTACCTGAGGCACCGGATCACAGACCCTGCTCTAAGGTACCGTGAGTCTTCAGGAAAAGTGTTAAAGTCCTAAATGACCAACCTTTCAAGTATGCTGTATAGATAACAGAAATATTACATCATTTTTCTGTGTTCTTTACCATCACTCCTTAGATTGTCGAAAAAACAGATTTTGTATCTGTGCATTGTGATGTGTGCATTGTGCTCCCGAACTTAGAATCTTCTCCCATGGTGTTAGTTTTTATCATAGAGATCCTATTAAATTACATTAGTATTCTAATTTCTAAATTCTATGGTTGTTATGCTAAAGGAATCTGACCTGAATTCACTCACTGTCATAGGAGCAGCCTCTGGGTGTTTTTATCAGAGAGCGGTGAGGGCTGATTGGGCTGGTTTGTGTTCAGTGAGGCTGAGGTCGAGCCCCGGGGAGCACGGGGTTAAAGGTGAAGTGTCTTCATGGAAGTATAGCTTGGGATCGAATGGGCAGAGGGCTGCCGCATGGGATACTGGGGCCTGGGAAATCAATATGAAGGCTCTGTGAAATTCTCCGGCTCCGAAAGAGAGACCAGCGAACATGAAGACACACATACACACAGTCTTATTTAGCATACACTTTATTTCTAATGCACACACCTGCACAAGGACTTGGCACACAATGTACATTTAGCTAATACTTCATTTTCAAATGCATTTACAACATAATAATTACCATTATCTTCATCAGTTTACATTAATCGTTTAATAAAATGTTTACCTTGACATTTATAGTTAGATTGTGAGAATATTACATTTATTGTCGTTTAATAAGGATTCCTTCCCAGTGTTGTTTACAGACTTAGAGAACTGATGGCATGACGTGCACTAGATTCAGGCCGTCAGCTCTGCGACATATTGGTGTCAGCCAGACAGAGAAACGGAAACAGAGCAGTGTGGAAAGCGTTGTTCATCTGTGTATATCGTCACGAGCTGTGTCTGTGTGTCTGTTAGACGGCTCTATAAGCCTACGTGGAGGAGTCACACTGTAAATCACACGGAATTACATCACTTTTAGAAAGAGTAGAGGAATAGAGGTGTATAAAAAAAACGGAGCGTTTGAATTGCCATGGTTATCTTTTCTGACTTGTAATATGGTTAGGGATATTTAACTGTATTTGTGGTTCAGCTTAGTTGGTTGTGGTGTTATCGTTTTCTTCTTTATTGTGTGATGATGCTAAACATTCGTTCTCCCACATGAATAGTCTATCATTGAGATATTACTGTGGATATGAACAGTACACTGCATGGCAAAATAATGCGAGTCATTGAACAGCCTTAACAAGGTTTTATTGAAAAAAGATTCCACAGCTTGTAAAATGTCACGGTGATTTGGGATTTAGGCCTGTGTGATGTAGAATTTCACACTGCCGTTTCCACTTTTGAACAAATATGCTGCCGTGGATAATGCTTAACATTTAAGTGTAGCGTGTAGATTTTCCACCAAAATCCCATCTCTTTCGGCTCCCAGGGTATTACCTAGAAATATCCACAGATACACTACGATTGCCTGGCTTACTCCTTTAATGGAGAGCTTTGTATTTTTTCTAAGAAAATGTAAAAGGCCAACATTTTTCAGTTTGTAATAATACAATTTGAGAGGTACAGTGTTTTGATTATTATTTTTTTATTTTTTTTACTTGGAAACTGATGGCAATCACTACATTGTAAATTATTATTTATGTGAAAGTATTTTTTGTGAACAGATATCATTGGTAATGCTAATGTTTTTTATTTTGATAAATAAAGTAACGTGGTCACATGAACTCACATCTGAGCATGGCTCTGGGACAGTGGGAGTGGATGACAGTGTGTCTGTGTATGTATTGAGTATGAGTAAGCTCTGTGGATGCTTTTACTGCGTGTTTACAGTCCTTGTCCTTGCATGTATGAGGCTGGGGGCCATGTCTGTCTGTTTTGGGACCATGCAGACTGTGTGTGTGTGTGTGTGTGTGTGTGTGTGTGTGTGTGTGTGTGTGTGTGTGTGTGTGTGTGTGCGTGCATGTGTGTGGAGCGGCAGCTGAGGGCTGGTGTGGATATGGCAGCAGTGGCGGTGGTTGGCGGTGTGTTTTCTGGCTGTGTTGTCAGATTGCTGTGTGTCAGCAGAGAGCCAGGGGAACGCTTGGCTGCCTATTCAGGCCGGTGTGGACCCTGCTGTGCCCAGCTACCATGGGCTGTCGGCGGGTGCTGGAGGGCACAGTGCTGGGGGGTAGGAGGAAGCACGGGGAGAGGGGTTTTGGTCCAGGCTCACTGAGTGTGGGTGTCATCCATGCAGAGGTGTATGGCAGGTCCCTCTGGCAAACGCTGGCCCTTGCCACCGTCACCACTAATCCCCACACCCCACACTCCGTCCCCTCCCCCTCTGCCTTCCTCTCTCCCCCACTGTCGCTCTGCTTAGTCTCCAGAGTCCTTGGGTGATTTGTGGGGAGGAGGAGGGAGAGAGATGCGGGAGCTTGGCTGTGTGACCTTTTACCAAATCCCTCCGCTTTTCCATTCCAGTGGTCGTGGCCCAGACAGGCTGGGGGTCAGGGCTGCCTCACTACCTCCCTGCCTTTCCAGCCCTAGCCTGTCCACCCTGCCTCCTTCCCTTCACTCTGTCCTGCCCTGGCCTTGTTTCTCTGGCTGTGTGTTGTAAACACTGTGTCATAGTTGCTCCAGGGAAGCAAAGGGAGGGAGAAATATATACAGAGAGAGTGAGAGAAACCAAAAAGTATTTAGGAAGAGATAAAAGGAGAGTGTGACACAGAGACTGTTTTGAGGTCAGAGTATTTTTTAGCGTCTTCTCTCTCTTTCTGTTCTGTCACTTTGTTGAGTAGAGAGGTGTTCAGAACAGAGTAGTGGTGGTGTGATGTTCAGGCCCTGTGCCTAGAGCAGAGTGTGTATCATAGTCTCTCCCGTCTCTGACGCCTGTACCTCAGCATGTCTGAGCTATTTAGAGCCTGTCTGTCTCTGCGGCTACGCTCCCACTAAAAGACAAACGTCTTTGTCGTTGCAGTAGTAACAACCTGGGGCTGAGGAACACAGCAGAACGGTGTTTTGAGTGCTAAGGACAGATGGGAATAGCCTGATTTGATTTTTACAGCAGGTATCCACCATGTTCACACACTCTTTTTATTAGAATGCTCAGAGCGTGCTTGGAGGCAGACCCCAAACGCATGATGCAATGCTGTAGTCACCAATGGGGCTTACTGAAACCAGCGATAGTAAGAGTCTGACAACCGCCGCTCTCTTTTCCTTTTTCTTCATCTTCATCTCCACCTCTAACTCCTCTCCCCTCTCTCCTTCCTGCCCCTCCTACTCTCTCAGAATGCTGTGGGTCTATATCATGGCAGATGACGTGTGACGCCGTGCTTTTGCGTATAATTTAGCCTAGCACTTTCTGTCCTCGTCAATCTTCCTCTCGCAAATGTTTTCTTACACGGCGCAAGCGATTTGACTCGGAGGATGGGTTATACATCTCAACCGTCAGCGTTCCCCATGTCCCTCTAGAATCGCACGGCTGATTTTGATACAACCTTCGATAAAACTATTTATGGATTTTCTGGAAGCTTGGTGCTTCCATTTAATATGTGTTTGACACCTTGGTGACGTGGGGTCGATACTGCAGCAGGGTCATTATACCAGTAAATTGGGTCATGCAGAGTTAAAGGTCAGCCTCCTCACAGCCCTCTGACCTCATGACCATAGGTTAGGGAGGAGCGTTCCCCATTTGCACGGGTGACCGGGACTGAATGTGTGTGTGTGTGTCTGTGTGTGTGTGTGTGTTTGTGTGGTCATCACAGGCAAGAAGAAGGTGGGGGATGGGTTTAGAGCATTGTTCTTTTTCAGCCAGCAGGGTGGGAGAGGGAGAAGGAGATGTGTTTTTGAGGTAATTTTACTGCACAGATTTTGAGTGGGATGTGAGAATTATGATCTAATTTATATAAGGGATTTTATGATTAATTCTAGTGTTGACATATTAACCGAATATGTTTATTTTGGTTGCTGATGATTAATTAATGTATCCTTAATGTATCCTTAGTGCTGGCCCACTCACTAACCCTCTCCTCTCTCTGTGTTTGTTTCTCCTGTGCAGATTCAGAGCTGTCTCAGAGTAAGGCTGGAGTAGGGGTCCCGGGGCCCGGAGGGGGCAATGGGGGGAGCCACCTGCAGTGCCTGTCCGTCCACTGCACAGATGAGCTGGGGGACAGTAAGGGCCGAGGGGGGCCCGTCTCCTCCTGGCGCTCCCTGCACTCGGACATCTCCAACCGCTTTGGGACCTTTGTGGCAGCCCTGACCTGAACACAACCGAGAGAGGGGGAGAGAGGGGGAGAGAGAGGGAGAGAGGGGGAGAGAGAGGGAGAGAGGGGGAGAGAGAGGGATGGGGGGGGGGGGGGGGGGAGAGAGAGAGAGAGAGGAGAGAGAGAGAGGGGGAGAGAGAGAGAGAGAGAGAGAGAGAGAGAATGACGTAAAGGTATTGATAATGATGCGACTGCATTGGCTCTCGCCTGTTCAGGGAGAGAAGGACATATACAAGCTCATTCACACACACCAACTCACACACACTCTTGGACACAAACACATACACACTCACTCATGCATCGCTGGACTATACAGCTTGGGCTCTATTCAGTGGTGCCCACATCTGGAAAACCTCAAATCAATTATTTTAGTTTTCTGTTGTTTTTGGAAGAAAACAGGAGAAATATCAATGGAGGAAAGGAAAAAACTAAAACAGAAAAAACAGAAAGACAAAATGTCCTTGGCTGTATTGGGATAGCAGTGTTGAATCTCTGTTCAGTTACATTCTTTAGAAATGAAAGTAGTCTCTTAGTATTTGGGAGCTCTGTGATTAAAACCCCATCCTCACCAGCTGTACCCTGTACTTTTACCTCCTAGCCATGGTTCTCTCTGTGGGTTGGAGGTGGTACTACCCACCACACCTGCCCCCAGCCTAGTGTATAGATCACTGAGCCTGGGCTTGGGTATGGCCTCAAGCAGAGCCACCCTGACCCATACTGAACCATTGAGGGACTCTTTGTCAGCCAGAGTTTGGAGGATATGTGTGTGAACCAGACCTTCCTCCCTCCCATGGCTCTCAGGGGTACAGGGGGAGGAGAGCAGCCCTCTCACCAGGACCTCTCCCTCAGGCCTGGGAAGCCCATTGTCACCCAGAGACAGAGGAACCTGATGAGATTTGGGCCCTTTGAGCCACCGTACCTCACAAACTCACAGGCCACCCTCCTGGTCCAATAGAACTGGCCTGGACCCTGAAACAGGGGGAGGAAGAGTGGGAGGGAGATGGAGAGAGAAATAGTTTATTTTTGGTGTGGGTATCTGCAAAAAGGGATTTCTGAATACAAATTCCTCTCTTTCATTTATTTCCTCTTCTATTTAGCTTGGGCTCCAACACAGTTATACAATACAGCCAATGTAAACTGTAGGGGAGGTCAAGGAACCATTTAATAAGGGAATTGAAAAAGGAATATTGGTATTGCACATGTAAAATAAGAGAACATTTGCTGTGTGTTAGGCAATCTTGTAACCTTTAAATAAAGCTTCTGTTGAATTTGAATTCCTGAAACAATAGATGGAGGCCTGTGACGGCATCTTACGAACTGTTTCTTTTTTGTTTTCTTTTTTTAATAATATGTAAAGTGCAGTCGTCTGTTTTCCTGCATATTGTATATATCTGTATATGTTTTATTGAGTAACTAAATAACAATAAATATGACGTTAATGGTGAATTTTATGATTGCTTGTTTCTAATCATGTTGTGCCCTTACATTTGTCTGTCATAATAACAGTCACAATTTATGAATGAAAATAACATTAATACTGTATAATAATAGAATAATGGAAATATCGCTATAGTCTGAAGATATCTCATATATACAGTACCAGTCAAAAGTTTGGACACACCTACTCATTCAAGGGTTTTTCTAATATTTATTTTTTACTATTTTCTACATTGTAGAATAATAGTGAAGACATCAAAACTATGAAATAACACATATGGAATCATGTAGTAACTAAAAAAGTGTTAAACAAATCAAAATATATTTTATATTTGAGATTCTTAAAAATAGCCACCCTTTGCCTTGATGACAGCTTTGCACACTCTTGGCATTCTCTCAACCAGCTTCATGAGGTAGTCACCTGGAATGTATTTCAATTAACAGGTGTGCCTTGTTAAAAGTTAATTTGTGGAATTTCTTTCCTTCTTAATGCGTTTGAGCCAATCAGTTGTGTTGTGACAAGGTAGGGGTGGTATACAGAAGTTATCCCTATTTGGTAAAAGACCAAGTCCATATTATGGCAAGAACAGCTCAAATAAGCAAAGAGAAATGACAGTCCATCATTACTTTAAGACATGAAGGTCAGTAAATCTGGAAAATTTTAAGAACTTTGAAAGTGCAGTCACAAAAACCATCAAGGGCTTTGATGAAACTGGCTCTCATGAGGACCGACACAGGAAAGGAAGACCCAGAGTTACCTCTGCTGCAGAGGATAAGTTCATTAGAGTTACCAGCCTCAGAAATTGCAGCCCAAATAAATGCTTCACAGAGTTCAAGTAACAGACACATCTCAACATCAACTGTTCAGAGGAGACTGCGTGAATCAGGCCTTCATGGTCGAATTGCTGCAAAGAAACCACTACTAAAGGACAACAACAAGAAGAAGAGACTTGCTTGGGCCAAGAAACACGAGCAATGGACATTAGATCGGTGGAAATCTGTCCTTTGGTCTGATGAGTCCCAAATTTGAGATGTCTTTGTGAGATGCGGAGTAGGTGAACGGATGATCTCCGCATGTGTGGTTCACACCGTGGAGGAGGAGGTGTGATGGTGTGGGGGTGCTTTGCTGATGACACTGTCTGTGATTTATTTAGAATTCAAGGCACACTTAACCAGTATGGCTACCATAGCATTCTGCAGCGATACGCCATCCCATCTGGTTTGCGCTTAGTGGGACTATCATTTGTTTTTCAACAGGACAATGACCCAACACATCTCCAGGCTGTGTAAGGGCTATTTGACCAAGAAGGAGCGTGATGGAGTGCTGCATCAGATGACCTGGTCTCCACAATCACCCGACCTCAACCCAATTGAGATGGTTTGGGATGAGTTTGACCGCAGAGTGAAGGAAAAGCAGTCAACAAGTGCTCAGCATATGTGGGAACTCCTTCAAGACTGTTGGAAAACCATTCCAGGTGAAGCTGGTTGAGAGAATGCCAAGAGTGTGCAAAGCTGTCATCAAGGCAAAGGGTGGATACTTTGAAGAATCTCAAATATAAAATATATTTTGATTTGTTTAACACTTTCATGATTGCATATGTGTTATTTCATAGTTTTGATGTCTTCACTATTATTCTACAATGTAGAAAATAGTAAAAAGAAAGAAAAACCCTTGAATGAGTAGGTGTGTCCAAACCTTTGACTGGTACTGTATATCACAGAAATATTCATTGTGACAAGTTTGTCTGGGGAGGTTGTGGACTCTGTAGTCTAAATCAGCAGCATAAAACAACACAAAGTAAACTGGCATAAGGATATTATATAGTATAGTAGTATATAATAGTGTCTTTCTCTCTCTCCTCTCAGCATTTTCTATAGGCCTACCTCATTGCCTGTCTCCCCCTCCCTCTTTTTCTTCTCTGCCCCCATCTGCTTCTCTCTCTCTCTCTCTCTCTCTCACTCTCTCACTCTCCCCCCCCCCCCCCCTCCCCCCCCCCCCCCCCCCCCCCCCCCCCCCAGCCCTCTCTCACTCACCTGCTCTTTATGGGCCATCTGCATGGATGGTTAATGGTAATCAATAGCTCCCCAGTGTGCCAGCTCTGAGGTGGAGACGTCAATGCTGTCTAACAGGACTAGTGATCAGCCTGCATCACCGCCATCGACACACACGCACACACACACACACACACACACACACACACACACACACACTCACACACACAAACAATGTATCGGCCTTATACAGCTTATGTACTTGGAATAATGCACTCGTACACCAACACACTCCCTGCATGCAGCCCAAAAATATGTGTGAATGTGAACTGTGCTCTAATGTATACGCACACACACACTCACTCACACACACACACACTCACGCACGCACACACACACACACACACACACACACACACACACACACATAGATGGATGTGGAGATATTGATCAGTGTTTGGGTGAGAGTGCCATTTAATGCATTCATGTGTTATTGTGCATGCGGCTTATGTATTATTTTTAGCAGTGTCAATCCACATTGCGTGTCCCAATACAGCCCAAGGCTTATTAAAACTTGTTATGGTATTTTTTGGACTAGTATAAAATAGGGTTCAACTCAACCTTGAGTGTCTTCAGAGGTGTGTGTCTTTAAGATAAGGATCGCCCGTCAGCTCTTGATGATACTGGTATTTGGCAGTATTGTTGACGCCTGACGCTTGATAAGTCCAACCCTATTCGTCAGGGTTGGGTGACTGCTTACAGAATACACATCATTTCAAGTGCTTCTCTATTTTTGACTAAACCTTGAACAATGCTTTTATGCTTTGTGTTGCTTCATGCCAAGATGCCAGATTTTCTGGCATCTGTCTGTGTGTGCCAGCCAGCAGACCTGTTTCATACCTGTCTCACCTTACTGTACCTGTCTGTCTGGTTTACCTGTCTCTCCTTACTGTACCAGTCTGTCTGGTTTACCTGTCTCACCTTACTGTACCAGTCTGTCTGGTTTACCTGTCTCACCTTACTGTACCAGTCTGTCTGGTTTACCTGTCTCACCTTACTGTACCAGTCTGTCTGGTTTACCTGTCTCTCCTTACTGTACCAGTCTGTCTGGTTTACCTGTCTCTCCTTACTGTACCAGTCTGTCTGGTTTACCTGTCTCACCTTACTGTACCAGTCTGTCTGGTTTACCTGTCTCACCTTACTGTACCTGTCTGTCTGGTTTACCTGTCTCTCCTTACTGTACCAGTCTGTCTGGTTTACCTGTCTCTCCTTATTGTACCTGTCTGTCTGGTTTACCTGTCTCACCCTACTGTACCTGTCTGCCTTGTTTACCTGTCTCACCTTGCTGTACCTGTCTGTCTGGTTTACCTGTCTCTCCTGACTGTACCTGTCTGTCTGGTTTACCTGTCTCTCCTGACTGTACCTGTCTGTCTGATTTACCTGTCTCTCCTGACTGTACCTGTCTGTCTGGTTTACCTGTCTCTCCTGAATGTACCTGTCTGTCTGATTTACCTGTCTCTCCTGACTGTACCTGTCTGTCTGGTTTACCTGTCTCACCTTGCTGTACCTGTC